AAAGTGCAAAACTACTTCCTCCTATGTTTCGACTATTATCTATGCTAGTAATGTTGAGTTCTATTTTTCGATATGGAATTTATCATCTAACAATACGGAAGTGATAACGAAATAATAACTGGGTATGCAATCGATCACATCGATACCTTCCCACCTCACTCATAAAGAATCGAAAGTGTCGGTAACGAGATCGATGTAGATGCGATCGATCGGTACAGATAATGGGTAGGTAACGTTAGGGTAAAAATAAAGGAATTGGTATGCGCCAGGTTGAGACTTTCTATTTTTAATCGGGCGGAGAGGTCGCGGGCGCGGGCGCCGGCGCCACAGCCTCCGCCAGAACTTGTGGTGGTTGCGCGCGCATTCCGTCAGCGCATGCGCCCCGGGCTGCGCGCACTACACGCGTTCTATACCCAGTTCGGTGTTCACGATTTGTTTGTTTTGATTTGCCGTAGCAAATCCGAAGCCGGTTACACTTACCGTATCTGTAAATAACGCTTGATCAACATTAAGATAAACTTAGCGGGCTATAAAATTATGGACAATTTTATTTATAATCAAATTGGACAATGACCTAGTCGGAATGCATTAGGGCGAATAGCCGGTCGGTGCTTCGGTTTGATTGACGTACGATACTAACCAGATAGTATTGTAACGAGAGCCGGTAGATCAACCTCCGCCTACGGACATAGCTGCCTCTATTCAGGAAGTAATAGTCCAGGACTAGTTTGTGACAAGGAAATGGGCGTGATCAGGAGAAAAAAGCGTAAGTGTACTTTCTCTTCGATTAGATAATATATAAATAGGCGGATGAGAGTGCTGTACTTTATTTTCCAAATTAGGTATATCCTTGCATTAAATACTTGATCTTTTGTTGTTATTATTATAAGGCAACATTTTGCAAGTCCACTTTCGATTTGACAGTAACCTGCATGTGACACAATGTAACTTTTTTTCGTTTGCGAAACCTCTGATGCAATTCACCCAAATTAGCATTTCGTATTGTTGAATGTGATGTTTTGAACAAAAATAACATTCTGCAACAATATTCTATGGACTGTTAACTTTGTTATGGAATACGGCCGGGGAACGGATATCGTGCTCTATAACTCTATAATATTCTGCGACAGGCGAGTCAAGGTTCATTATTGTTTTTATCTAGAAAACCACATTCACATTCTATGGGAACTTTTATATTAACTTCACATTGTTTTTTTTATAATTACCTTTATTATTTTAGACGTGGTTCTAATTAGCTAAACAGTTTATGTGAGAGATAGTCTCTGTTTTCCATTTCATCATAACAGCACAAAACTACAGTTTAATTTTCTACCAACAAAATTGTATTAGTGCAATCAGTACAAATGTTATTACTTAACTCTATTTTTGGCTTTTATTGAAGTTATTAGACCTTATTATGGATCGTCCAATAAAGTAGTATGCTTTGTATCTATAAATAGTTTCTTGTTTTATTCTAACAATACTTGTAACTGCCTGCTTTAGAAGTGGTTCAGCAGTTTGCCAAGCTCACTAACCCTGCTTAAAGACTGCACCCATATAAGGACTCGACATATGTGTCGAAGTAATGCTCATCTAACCGGTATCGACTCGATTTGTTTAGCTTAAATTTTATAAACAACACGGCTTTTAAAAGCAAATATGAATTAGAGCAAATCTAAATTATTGTTACACGAATATCAGATTGTAATTAAGATCTTACAGAAAATAATTGGACTCTACTATGCTGAATTTCTAAGCAATGTTAAGTTAAAAACAATGATTTATAACCGACGTATGGCACGTTTCTTCAAAATATATGTTCTCATATACCGTAAGTTAGAATTCCAATATGTATAGGTCATCGTTGTTAATAAAATAACATCGATAGCTACATTAATATTCAATGGTAATAATTTGTTTAAAATGTACATCTTCAAGTTTTATCGCCGTGTATAAATACTATAAATGTACTGAACATGTTCTTGCTCATAGAAACCGCAGAACAATGTGCATATTACAGCGCACTTGCACTCAATAACATTTAATCGCTTGCGGCTTCTGTTCAATAGGTCATACGTAACATATTTTACGTGCTTCGTAAATACTCTAGTGTGAAGGTGAAACACCAACGGTTACGTTATGCGGTCATCGCTCACGTATTCGGGTGGGACCCCTAACTTCACACTGTTATACTAGGTACCTATCTACCTATATTTCGTAATTGCGCAGTTAAAAGTATCGACAAGATGTTTTGGACATTATCGTTGAAGTATCACTTGTCATTGAAATGCTAGTACCTTGTGCTTTGCCCTTTTAAAATTGACCTTAAAGTTTGTCATCTTCTAAAATAACTTCTTTAGAAGTAATGTTTGTGTTTTGTTTGTTTGAAGTACCGTCAAAACTGCCTTTTTAGGCTGTCTCATAAAAAGGTTTTGATGATTCATATAATCAAATTCATGTACATATTTGACAGTCCTCAATACTTGGTTTAACTTGAAATTTTTATTGTAGTCATTGTTTTGTGTAAATTCATTGTTGAGTACTGTTTGCAAGTGCAAGCTAGTGTTTCTTCAGAACAAAGTAGTCATACATTTTACTGCGGCCAACAACACCAGTTCCATAAATCATTTTATGAACAATTTCTGTTCTCTTACCTTCCATAGAGCTTTTACATCGTGATTATGTGTTTTTCGTGTAAATTGCTAGCCTCCGTTGGAATTATCTTTCATAACTGTGATTAGTGCTTACAACTCGTAGTTGAACGTGCATAGTACCGTATCTGCAGTCTGCAACACCAAACAGCTTTCAAAACCAGATCACCCCTTACATATTACATCCATTCACTTCTGATTTTTGAAAACAAGTGAACCTTTCTGTACCTTACTCGGTGCTGAATAATCCCAGGACCCGTTTTTATTTAATGATTGACATATTTTTAATATAAAATGCAAATGAGTATTCTAATATTATCAGTGTATGTATGCAGCTATGCAGTTTCTAATACTTTAACTGCGAAAATACGTAGGTGCTTCGGGTATTTAATATCCATGTACCTGTTTTACATAATTATTCATTGCATTGGTAAATGAAATAGAAATAAAATAAAATAGGAAATTTAATTTATCAATATTGCATGCATAATGTGGCTATAAAATAATATTTGAAAGTGTCAAATGCAACGAATATAGGTTTTGAAGTACATTCATGAACTTTACATGATAGTACTGTACCGTTGTGAATGATGTATGTATGAAGTCATACGTTTAGTGTATTTATGGCGTAATGGTCACGGGGCCGCACCGGTTTCGCAGCCAGCAAACACTAGACATCTACGTTCCCCAGAGTTTACTACTAAGTGCGCAAAGCCCACTACAGCCATTAAATCAAATTGCCACTCTTAATTTAACATTAACGGACCGCTATCAAGCTCAGGGTTTATTCCTGTCATCAAAGCTGCAATTTCTTACATTGCTTCTAAGTTTTTGCCGCGTTTAAGCGCAATCGCCTACAAAAACGACATTCACTTCATACAAGATGAAAATTGCTTCACTGCTTTTACTTAAATTACTTTCATAAAGTACCTTCAGCAATTATTTATTAGTTGCATGTTTTTTCGTTAAATTACTCACTGAATCATTTCACAACATTGACTTTCACGTGTCCGTTACATTTAGATTGGAAGTAAATTACCATCATTCCTAGAAAAGAGAATTTTCCAATAAGACTACTGTAAGATGAGAGTCACGAATCCCTGTGTAAACCATCACGACTCATTCTGGAGTACAATAGTTGTGTAGGTCGTTATTCTATTAAGCTTATCTGGGGGTGAAAGTATCGCAACTGATTGGCTATTGTAATGCAGAAGACAGGACGCGGGCCCGACCGTTCTGGATCATGATTTCTCTGTGGTCCATTCATTCCTCTCGACATGTAGATTGTCGTGCGAACGTAACGGAGTGACGCGCGATCATTTGTTATTCAATTCCGTACTGTTTGTATTCAACAACTGTGGAATTAGAAATCCGGTTGCGTAGAAACGAATCATCAATAATTGTCGCAGCGCATCATTTGTCATTGCAGAACAAAGCATTTCTCTTAGAGATACCGTTCTCAGACTTAACATTTCGACGCTGATAGTTCACAATCGTGACAACAACAAGCGCAGGTGATACGTCACACAGTCATAATGTCTACATCGTGACGATATATTTTCGAGCTCATGATCATTCCGACCTTGCTAGCACATGTATGCACCGTATTGCATACAGCTCATTGTGTCTATTCACTGGGGGGTCAATAATTAGTTCAGTGCCGGCGCTTTGAACGCCCACTGTCCTATTAACTGCAGAAGACCTTGTTTTAAGTTAATTTGTTTTCTAGCATATAGGGAAGTCCCTACCTACTCTTCTTTTATTGTCTGTGTAACCTGATAACTAGGTTAATTGCTCTATACATATCTCGGTGTATTATTCACACGAATATCCATTTTCATATTTATGCTTGACCTTACACTTGTTGACAATAGATACCTGTGAGTATTGCGCAAGTGGCGGAAGTCAGTAGTCCGAAACAATACGCTTTACATAATGACCAGTTCAGATAACAAATCATGTGTTTACCTAGACAGTGTAGATTAATTACTGAATAACACTTATTGAACTGAACATTCTATTCTCTTATCAAGACTAAATTCAGCAGTGACATAAACTCCAGATAAATAAATAAGGGGTTTTAACGATAACAGTGTTGATGGATTACATAATGGATGCAATCCTTACAATAAATATTTTGAACAATGATTTTTATAAATATTATCAAATGAAAACATAATCTTTATAACCTTGGTTTATTAAGGGAATAGGGTGCGGTAATGCGGTTACAGCGAATAGTATCAGTAGCATCTGTGCGCTGATAAGAGTACGGCGAGGTTATTTAGGGTTTTATAGGGCAAGTGTGGTATGTGTCATATGATAAGACTTGACACGGTTTTAATTTTGCAGGTGAATCTGTTTCGGAACGAGCTGAGAGCGAAGCGCGGGTAGTGAACGACCAGCGATGTATCGAGGTCCGTATAGCGCGCACTGCCGGCGGGCTCGGGCTCAGCATAGCTGGAGGAAGAGGCTCCACACCTTACGTCGGTGACGACGACGGCATCTTTATATCCCGAGTCACACCGAACGGACCAGCCTACAATGCTGGACTTAGAGTAAGTCCATATTCAAATGAACAATAAAGACTTATCAAGTGTTAGATAGTATTGCCTTTCTAATCAAATGAATCACTGCGGGAAGTTATTAATGTCGTCGTTAAATTGTTATTACACAAACTGAATTATGTATCTACTATCTTGTCTTTTGTTTCATTTAAGTGTAGACATAAACAATATAGCATTGTAAATTTTATTTTTAAAGTCGTAAGGGTTTTAATGCTCGTTTCAATTGTTTCAGGTCGGCGACAAGGTGCTCTCGGTGAACGGTACGTCTGTCGTAGAAGTGGATCATTATTATGCAGTGGAAGTACTTAAAGCGAGCGGGCCCACGCTCACACTTGTCGTGACCAGAGATTCACCCAATTCGACCAGGTAAGTACCGTTTATTCCTTATCTTATTGTTTTATCACCACTGTTGCAATCATTGCGACTACCTAAATTATTTAGAACAGATCATGCAAGCTTAGATAAGTGCCTCTTGTTGGTTTTACTTCTTAACTTTTTGTTCAATATTTACAGATGATCTTATGATATTAAATCAGGCTCTTTGTTTAACAAAAATAAATATTTAATTAACTTAGTCATGTTGTACGCAAAATGCAATAATAAGGAAATCATTTCAGAACCCACAGCCGAGCGCCGAGCGGAGCGAGCCATCATTCCATATCTAGCACTACCGATACAATATCTACACTGGAAAATGGACAGGTAAACATCTCATTCAATATGCACATCATGTTCTACGTAAATGTAAATCGCGAAGCAATCACATGCAAAAGAGCTTGAAATGTTTTTATTGCAACAACTGTATAATAACACTTTGTTTCCATAGTGGTGAATATCGATAGATAATAATCTAAACTACTCAAATTTCACAAGTACAGCTTCACTGGCGCCATTATAATGTATAATGTATCGATAAACATGGAAGTTGCTTTTACAGGTCCCGACAGGTCGTGGTATACCCAACAAGCCGCTTATCATCAGCAATCAGTACGCGCAGGAGTTTGAGCCGGAGTACAAAGAGCAGGTGGTGAACCAAACAGTACCGACTGTGGTTCCTCCTGTAACGAGTTACAGTCCGTCTCCTACGGGACAAGTCACTGCGGAGACCTACCAGCGACTGCAAGCATCTCCTCCACCCGTCACTGAGCCGTACATACCACCCGGTGAGAACCAACACTATATTTAACGACTTTCCCACAATAATCTGCAAACAAAAGCTGAATCTTTAATGTATACTAAAAGACCTTTGAAAACGTCAATCTGTCAATCTTGCGTGTCGTAAATTATTCTATGAAAGTCGTCACATGCAATCGAAAGGCCTAATAAAATCTGATTACCGGTCTAACCTTTAGATACAGGTATTTCCTCAGTGTGGTTGTGGAGGTCAGACGTCAGTTGGAGCACCGTCTAAAATATAGATAGTTTAGCATCTGGTTAGACTGGAAGTTGAATACGATGCTCGTGGGAAAAGGCCCTTCTTGTTTGCTCAAAGATCAATGTAGCTACGTAATCGGCTCCAATAGATATTTGAATTTAATCCGTACTTAGTATTGCTTGCAGTTTGTAACCTGTATTGCTTAGATAGAAATAATAACAAAATTTTAAGTGAATTTCTATTTTGTGACTGAGAAAATAATTGAACTCTATTGACAGACTAATAGGTCATTTCAAATTATTAATATGCCCTTTTCCTAATTCCGTAATGTCTAAATTAACGAATCATTTTCTTTACTTTCCAGTGTATCAACAAAAGGTGCTAGTCCATACAACACTGATCCGCGATGGTGCGGGTCTCGGGTTCAGTATAGCCGGTGGCAAGGGTTCTCCGCCGTACCGAGATGACAGCGACGCCATATACATCTCACGGATCTCCCCGCAAGGTGCTGCCGCTAAGGACGGCAAGATGATGGTCGGAGATAAAGTTGTTTCCGTAAGTTCTGGTCACATACAATTTAACATAAGCAATCTTATAAACATATATTTACAAATACATGTCTTATGAGGGCAGATATTGTGATATTTAACAAACTTCTTTACCAAATCATAAAAACACGACGGTTGAGACTTCGTATACGTGATAATTGTTATCCTGGAAAATTGTTTCCTAAAATACATTATTTACTGGAAAAGCAGTTTCTATTAGCCGTTACAAGAGAAAGGAATTTGTTGACATTAATTATATCGACACAGTTTATATAACTGCTAAAGCCTAGACTAGCCGCTGCTAAAGACTTAATATAGATTTATTTCCTTAGATAAACGGCGTAGATATGGAGAGCGCTCCTCACGAAGCAGCCGTATCCCTTCTCACTGGACACGAGAGATTTGTTAGGCTCGTTCTACAGCGAACGATTACTACGGAACAAGGTAAATATACTGTTCAATTACCATTAAGTAGATAACCAAGCATATAATGCTTGTCCAGTTATTGCTTTTGTATTAGCAATTTTACGCATAAATTCTGCAGATGTTTTTAAAACAGTGCTATTTAAGTATAGGAGAAAAAACCGCTTAGCTTTACTCTTTATTAAAATGTATTTCCCTCATAGGCGAGTTCAACCCGCGGAAGTCGACATCAGAAGAAGTGAGAGAACATAAGTCCAGCCTGCAGAATGTGAACATCATTCCGACACAGAAACCCACCACCAATCACGTTAGCGCACCCTTGAACCACACACACAGCACGCGCGCCTCGCTCCCGCCCGCGCCACCCGCGCACTCTGACCACGTCACCCACTCCGCGCACACGGCACACACACGCCCTCGGCACACACCACCCTCATAGGCCACCGGCCCCCACAGGCCACCCGGCCCCCATAGCCACCCGGCCCCGTCACCTCAGCCGCCACTACAGAAGCAGGCCACATTCGCACCCACTTCAGTCCCACCGCAACCTGCACCACGAAAACTGAGTCAGCCGAACGGACAGGTGAGGCTTAGTGTCGCTTTATATGTACGGTTAAGGATCATTAACATATTTGTTGGTTAGTCTAACTGTCCATTTCAGCACAACTATAACTTAGATAAATTAAGAAACTTCTGTGTTAAAAACAATTTTTGATACATAAAAATAGTCTTAGAAAATGCTTTCACAAAATAGTTGTTACGCTTCTGATCCTCACGCTGGTAATGCAATTAAATTCAATATAAAAACTCGTTCACTTCAGGCCAAACCGACAACTAACAGTACGAGCACGCCCCTAACTCCCGGCGCCAATAACGTGCACGGATCTAACGACGATGTCTTCGACGATATACAGGTACGACCCACTCAGTCATTACTTAACGTATTCAGTTTCGCAGGTGATGGTATTGGTTTAACACGTTCACATCAGAGCTTTGAGACATTAGCTTCACCACAAATGTGTGCGACGCCTTATATGTTCACTTCACTATGTAGATTAGTCGAAAGTTGGCGATGACATTTAGCTCGCAATAGTTGCGAAAGGTATTATATCCGATGCATTCTGAAATATAGAGCTCATATTTCATGATGTTCGGTTGTAATATTGGTCACAACTATTAATGTTCTGAGTTGAATGCGATCTCCAAACTTTATATTTATGCCTTTATCTGCTTCATTATGCTGGATATCAACATTTCAGACATTAGATACTGTTAATAAATCATAACGGGTAGTATTAAGTCACATGTATTAAAACCTGGTCCGAAATATTTTTAGTGAACTACATCCTAACGAATCATTACATTTATAATAAACTCGTATGGTGTATTTTATCATTATGTATTCAGTAATTATTGCACATTATATTATTGTATTTACTAGTTTTGAAAATAATAAAGGCTTCTAGCTTGACCTTATACATATGATCGCACTTTTGCCATAAACATGTCGACGCAACATTGTTTATAACTATGCCATATACACGAGTAATAACTATTGTTTGTATGAATGTATAAGAAATTATTATAAAATATTTATGTATAAAAGGTATGTATTTTATAAACGTAGGTAATACATAGTTACAAATGTACTTAATGCTAGAAAGTAGAAGAAATATTTTGTCAAGTACTTTTTTGTCACAAATATCAGTTTATGAATGAGTTATGGTAGAAAATTGTTTTAAATATTTCACAACAGCACATTTTTTTAATTTTTCAGATTTTAAAGATGGAAAGCTCCGGGGGTATTAAAGTAAATTATCTGTAAAACATTTTATTTTATAGTATCGTTTCAAATAGTGTTTGGTGTCAAAGAAATACAAGCCTTTTAATATATACCGACCGCAAAGCTAATGATCGCTATTTGCTTCAAATTTGATCAGAAAAATAATTATCACTTAATTTCAAGAAATAAGTGGAAGTCTCGCCTAACTATATGCGTGCAACATTTTGAGTATTTGCTTTTGACGATAGTATTTATTATAAATTGGTTTTGATTGTTATTTATAGTAATTGAATAAAGATAAAAAGGCAAGATAAACCTTAAAAAAACGTCTAAAGAAAGTTTTACGATTAATTATCATTTCAACTACAAGGCTGGTTAGACCTCTCCTAATGCATTTTGCAACTAACAGCTCCCTGCTATTTATTATTCCGTATATTAGAGAGATCCGTTCCACATTTTTTTATGGCATAATAGCCGGTAAACGAGCAGACGGAATACCTGATGGTAAGCAATCGGCGCCGCCCATGGGCACTCGAAAAACCAGAGGTGTTACAAGTGTGTTACCGGCCTTTTGGGGATTAGGAATTTGAGGATTGTTGGGGATTCGGGTATTAGGAGGGGGTCAATAAGGCCCCCGGTAACCTTAATCACACAACGAAACACAACGCAAGTATTGTTTCACGCCAGTTTTTCCTAAGGCCGTGGTATCACTCCGGTCGAGGCGGCCCGTTCGTGCCGAAGCATGGCTCTCCCACACGTCAGTTACTCAGGCAGGCCAGGCATTTTCATAAACCGTACCAAAAAAATATTAGACCTACTTTTGTCAGTTATGTCTACTCTTGCACTTAATGTGAAGATTAAACAAAAACCATCCGACACTTGCACCTACTCAATATCAAGTATTCAAGTTTAAATATAGATTGATCCATGTGAGGAACTTAGATACATAAATCTTGCAGTGGATATAAAAATATTGGCATATTGATTGTTATTTCTTTTCAACATGTAATAAAATTAAACGTTAGGTCTTGCCCCTCCTAAGTGTCTAAGTCAGTATCTATCGCTTTGAGGAGTAATAAGCGTGAACAAATAGCAATAAAGGAGTCATCGGCCCCATGCAATTTTTATTTCATTATGATTTATGACAAATTACCATTGTTACTTTCCATGAGCATACAGGGCAAGCCATTATGTTAATATTACACAACCTGACCTTACAGAATATCAATATAATAATATATTCATAACAATTTTGTAATGAATGTCTACAACGGCCTTGCTATTGCTACCATCAACAATACGATAATATGATCTAATATGTAAACATGGGCTTAATAAGTGTCCGTAATGTGTTATTCAAGTCGTAGGTCTTAATTTAGCATTTTGCTATAATTGATTGTTTCAACTAATCTACAACGAGTAATAAATGATTAGACAGTATGATTAAATAAAGAAATTCCAGAATAAGTTTTTAGAATCAGAATGTTCAGAACTATAAAGCAAGAGGATGTTAGAAATTTGTTGTCCTGTAGTTTTGGCAAACAAAACCTTGAATGAGAACATTTAAGATTTATCTTCGAGGCTTGTATTACTTTGCACATGTACAAAACTAGTTTAGAAATCTGATAATAAGTAGTTGGGGGTAAAAGTGATACGCTACTGTACCCACGTAAAGTGTACAACTTTATCTGATCCAAATCTTAAAGTATGAGCTACATTCATTTACAGGCAATTTAATAAATCCATAAGGCGTTGATACATATAATTTTACAGGGCAGCTTATTCGTGCATGTAACATGCACAGGTAACACAATCGCCAAATTGGAATTATGACCCACCTACAAAATTTATTATTTATTATCTTGATTAAAGTCTATTTTATCGCTACTTTGTTGTGTGTGTTTTGTATGGATTAGTATTGAAACATTATTTGTATGTCTGTAAAAAAATAACTTGTGGTGGATCATGATTCAAATTGGTTGATTGTAAGTTGTAACCACTTGCGTCGTGGTACTGGTACATTAGACTGATTCGATGTGAACGTGTTAAACGCGCAGCCGTCGCGGCCGATTACCAACGAGGAGTTCCAAGCGATGATCCCGGCGCACTTCCTGGGCGGGGCGCGGCCGGCCAGCGCCGCCAGCGCGCCGCCCGAGCGCGGCGTGCGGGTGACGGTGGAGCGCGCGCCGCCCGTCGTGCTGCCGCCGCCGCCCGCCGCGCTCGGCCGCGTCACCGAGACCATCACCAAGTCCACCTTCACCGAGACCACCGTCACACGCATCACCGACAACCAACTCGTCGCGCCGCTCATCATCGAAGTAAGAACGACGATCGACGACTTCACTACTACGTAAACACTGCGATACTAAAGTTTCGCAATGATAATAAAATGTTTAAATCCCGAGTTTTGAGGTTTTACGAAGTCGATCCTCTCTTCTGACCCGTTAGGAAAGTGGTGGCATTAACCACTCTTTATTGTAGGTATATTTTAGAAACAGGTGAAAGGTAATACGCACGCCATCCAATATATCCAAATTATCTAGTTCTTTTGAATTGTAAACTAAGTAATGGTTAACCATTACTTAAGTTTACAATTACCATTCTCATATATTCTCTTAAATATTTTAGCGTCTACCAGATCGATCGACTTTCCTTTCATATTTATTTTTTGTTTGGCTAGGACTTCATTGTAACAGATTTTCTATTTAATTTTTGTGATCAGGAAGGAAATGTATTATTCCCGGCGTCTACATTATTTAAATATTAAAACAAATACAACAAAAACAACAAAATTAAACCTTTAAATTGTAGTGCACATGAGTATATAAAATATTATTACGCTTTGTTGCTTGTGCACATGAATATAACATTATAATATTATGCTAGTTTTTAAAAACTAAAAATGAATTTGGATGCAAATTCCTATTTATTCTCAGTAAACAATACAAATAATTATACAAAATTAATTAAATAAAAATTATTATTTTAATACAGAAATTAAATAGCAGAATCATTATACTATCTAGATCCAAAACTGGGCAGCCACTGCATGATAAATCATTGCATAACACCTTTCAATCTCCGTAGCTAGATCACAATCAATACGCAACATTCTTGACATTTAGAAAGGTTTCACTTTTCAACTAGGGATCACCAATCAAAATTTAGATGATGAATAATAGTTCAAAGTGGTTGTAGAGTTTTATGTGAATATACTTCGTGGCATCGGTAATTAACTTATCTATGTATTGTAAACAAATTATTGCAAGAGACAAGTAAGCTCATTTTAATGAATTTCATATGACTCTAAAACCACCCTAAAATTCGACAATAATTATAAAACCCGGTTCAAAAACAAACATAACTTCTCGGGTAGAGAGCTACTATCCGGCGAAGTTATTTTGTATAACAATAATAATTTTAAATATAAATGGTAAGTAACTGTACTAATTAATGTTACAATACAATTTCTTTTTGTTACAGGATGTCATCTTAGTCAAAGAAGGAGGATCTCTTGGATTTAGTATTATTGGCGGCACTGACCATTCGTGTGTGCCATTCGGTGGTAAAGAACCGGGAATATTTATTTCACATGTAAGTACTAGACTTGTGAACAGTATGAGTTGTAGTCAATTCCAAAAACTTGGAATTTACAATAGCAAACGTTTAGAGTTGATCTCTGATCTTGTCATGTCTTAGTAATACAATGTCCTAAATGCAGAATATGCTACAAAAAGTTCCATCTTTATTAGAATGACGTTTTTACTACTTATTATCAAAGCGGGTCATGATCAAAAAGAAATTAAAATAAAACAAATGCATGCATGCAAAACTCATTCTGCAATAGATTTTTAACTTAACCACGAAACGATTAAGTTGAAAACATTACCTCCCTCCCCTCCCTCCCATCCTTTGTGTAACATATAATAAAATACTTACGTATTTGTAATCAGGTGGTACCCGGTGGAGTAGCGGCTCGTTCAGGCAAGTTGCGAATGGGTGACCGACTGCTGAAGGTCAACGGCGTAGAGCTCACAGGAGCAACGCACCGCGACGCCGTGCAACTGTTACTACAACCCGGCGCTACACTCACTCTCACTGTACGACACGACCCTCTGCCCAACGGATTCCAGGTTCGTGACGTCCCTACACTACATCGCTCACCGTGACATGGGATTGATTGATTTTTGCTTATAAAATACGTCATGTATTGACTCTTTTAATATCTGCAATTAACAATTTTCCTTCGACGATTTTGACTACCACTGAATAATTTAATTCACGTTATTTTTTAATGAAGCATTTACAATATCAATTTACAATATCAATTAACAATTAATTCTCATCATAATGATAGAGCGTTTGTCAATAGTTATTGTACAATCCTGTGTCACAAACTCACTACAGTAATGAAATACAATAATGTGATCTATCTAACTGTGACAAATACTCACAATTTAATCAAATACAGTCCCCACTATTGGGCATAACAAGATATATCTTGTTATGAATATTCGTAATCTGTGTGTAAAATACAAACACATACGTAAGCCGCGCAATGTTTTGCATGTTATGCAAGTAACCGAATTTGTGGATTATAATGGTGAGAAGTTGAACGCATAATGTGAATTCACGAGTAGAATGATTTGAGTAATGTCGCTTACAGTAGTCATTTGGCGGTATACAATAATAAAAAGTATGCATAACGCTTATGCATTGATGCACATGATTGTTCAACATTTATACTGACAAAAGCAACTAGTATGTCTCTGCTAAGAATTCTGTCGCTTATCTACTAGCGTATTTCATGTTCAGTGACAAATGTGTTGATACGAGTTTGATTTATTTGTCGTTATAAAACGCAATGAATTGTTTTGTTCCACACGTTCGCAACACGGCCACCGCCCCACGTTCAGGGTCTCATACAAGTTGAGATTGTTGACGCAACTGTAAGTGTGAACGTCGCTCGACGATCTCGAACTTATGTGTGTTACTTTACCAAATATATATGTCAGTCTCCAACCCCTCATCCAGTCAGTCCGTGTGCCCAGCTATCGTCGTATTCGGAATGGTTATTTCCTAATACAGCTTTTCCTACTTAGAACGCGTCTTTACATCTTATAAGATACCATATTGCTTATAGCTCTTTCTACTGTCATGCCAATTACACTGAATCTTACCCTTTACAATTTTGTCTGTCATGTGCTAGGTTTTATTTATCTAGATTGCGTTTGTAAATACTTAGAATGAAAGCTTATGTTACCTTGAATGCATGAATTTTTGTTGTGGCTTTGCATGTAACAAGTGTTTGTGAATGTAGTTGTCTAAGTGACCAGATTGATTTGATTTAGTTATACTTTGAAATGACATACATTCTTAATTTTTTTATAGATTTAATAATTAAATGCCTATAGTATTTTTTATTGTTTTTCCACGATTTCAACTGTATTTGTTCTTTAGGACCTAACCATAATCAAACAAGAAGGTGAGAAGCTTGGAATGCACATAAAGGGCGGTTTGAACGGTCAGCGTGGCAACCCTAACGATCCGAATGACGAGGGAGTCTTCATATCGAAGATAAATAGCGGTGGAGCCGCGAGGAGAGACGGCAGACTGAAGGTATGTATACCATGTAATAAGTATTCGCGCTTTAATCTGAGTTATAGCAAACTTGTGATGATCCATTCAAAACTTCTTTATATCAATTTCTTTTTTTATGATTTTTGAAGGCAAGTCTTTTACTTTGATACAAGTTTATAATCGTAAAATATAGACATTTAGAACTGAACTAAAACTTTATTTATAATCTTTTGTTCTAGGTTGGGATGCGTCTGTTAGAAGTGAATGGTGTATCACTGCTGGGCGCTACTCATAACGAAGCAGTGAATGCGCTGCGTTCAGCTACTAACGCTCCTCTACATCTCGTCGTGTGCTACGGATACACTAGGCCGGAGAAGATCACTGTAAGATCATTATTTCATTATTTATTCTCTAAAACCTTTATTTTTCATATAAATCAACCCGTTACAGATAACTGTGGAGTGTTGTTTGTATGTTTTGCAATAATATCCATTCTATACAACACGAAAGATTTTAATAATGCTTGTATCCACGCTTTCCAATCACTTTTTAACTTTTATTTTGACTAAGCACGCTCCCGAGTGCGTTTTTCCACGCCCTTTTATGTAAGGGCAAGCTTGTTAGAAAGAGATAGACGAACGAAATGTTTGCACAGACTGGTAGCGAGAGCGGGACGGCAGATACGGGCGGCTCTCTGTCGCACTCAACGTCAAGCCTGGACAGAGACGAACCGTTGCACCAACATCAACCGGTCAGTATTATTTATGCTTTGTTTTTCCTTTGCATATATTGTTTTCGCATGTTTTATTATTATCTATGTTCTTCAGCTGTACAGCTCGCACACAATTACCTACTGTAAGCTTTGAATTTTAAATAATATTGTACTCTTCCGATTTCTGTTCGATTTAATGAAAATAGGTTAGCGGTTCATATCTTTATGTACTTACCTTCTTCTTCATTTGTTACTTCAACTGTAGTAAATAATCTTAATTATTTTCTAAGAAAGGTACATACTTTGTGATTCTATAAATTATCATAATATCAGGATTATTTTACATAATATATATCTGGTTCTGAATTATTGTATTAAATTGTGTATATTATTTATTTCAGGAGCAACAGTTCCAACAGGACCTTGTTGAGTTTGAACACGAGAAACAAGTCGCAGAAATGAGGGAAAAGTCTACACCTGAAAAGGTTCGTTTTTTTCTGTATTTGTGAATCTGAACTTCCAAGTAATTTATTACAATTGTGTTGACCAATCAGCTTAAATATTAAAAGTTGACGAACTATGTTATATTGGCCAAACTTTGTTGTCTTGAATGTTTGTAAATAATTATGTAACTTAGTACCAAGTTTATAGCGACTAATATTCCTCAACAACGTTCCAGGTGCTAGACATAGTTCACGCCGTAGAGAGCATGGCTCTTGAGCCCGCACCTCCGATATCTCCAGAACTGCAACACAAGACGACCACCGTCGTTATGTCCAAACACACACTTCAACCTCAGGTTAGTGGCACCCTGTATATAAAATACTCCATTTAGAGTATAACAAGCTAAATTAAAAAGCTAGATAAAGATTTTCCCTAAAATGCTAGACAAATAACTCTCCAATTGAAATGATTAAATAAAAATGTGATTATTTGGTAGAGAATGTCTCATACTATTTAGTCGCATTTTTCTTTTCGTCTCTCTAAATTTTAATCTTCACAGATGGACATAGAATAACTCAAACAGTGTTAATATCTATTTTTTAATAAAGTTCTATCCTTATTACGTTATTCTGTGTCTAACTGTAAATAATTTGAACTTTATTGCATGTAGTTTATCTTATACTATATTTTCCAATTTGATATTAACAATATACTCTTAAATAAGCTTTATATTTTGATATCATTGGAAAGTTAGCATGATAAATAAAGTATAGCTTTGTATTATACCTATAATTAACTTAATATTACTATGAAGGCCGAAACAACTCTGCTGTATAACTTTATTGCACGGTTAGCATCTTCCTGACTGAGTTAGCATGCACTATGTATATTTTGTAGTATAAATATTGCTTGCATGAAAATATACGTACAATAAATATCTGTATCAAGTACTTTAAGTATACTATTCGTATATTTAACTCTTGTCTTCCAAAATAAATGTTGTTTAGTATATCTCCATGAGCCTTTAATACGTAGCTGGTTGTATGAAGGAAGGGTGGCACTTTACAGGCAATTTCAGTACACCATCTTTTAAGCCGAACTTTCTGTGTTATGTCTGTAAATGTAACAACTTATGCAGTATTGATATTGACCTCTATGGACTGTTTGCATGTATCCTCAGTTTCTTTAAGTTCTTTCTGTTGGGACGTCTACATAATGGAATTGTAATAGAACTTCTAAGTGTACCCTAGTACTATTAGTACCTTATAGCGAGACGATGTTGTTCAGTTCTTATTTTAATTTAATGTAGCTTAGTTCAATGTCGTCATGTGTTAGCTTGTATACGGGTTCTGCCTAGAGGACGGCCCATATTGGTTATAAAATAATGACAAAGCGTATTACGTCCATTGCAGAATGCATCCATTGAGGAAAAGGAAGAAAACACATAGTACGGCAATGTTAACTTCTGTCCATACACTGTACATAAGTAACGTTTAGTAAACTAACGGATACTAATATGTCCAGTAAACTTATATCTGTGTTAAACTATCTGTGAACTGTGTTATCGACCGTAAATATACATTATAATGAAATATAATATTAATAATCCATTTAATATTTTAGTTAATTGATATTATAAATGAATGTTAAAATAAATTGAATGTTTGAATGCAGAAACATTATATGTACCACGGCAGTGTTGTTTAGTTGCACTGATCGACTTGTATGTCCGTCTTGTTATAATTATGTTATGAATAATGTCCGTTATATCCAAGTATACTTCGTCTAAATGTCGTTTTAGCTTCGCGTTTTCGTTAAGCATTATGTAATCCAGTAATTCACTACATGTAAGACATGAAAACGTTCAGTATCAAATATAAATGAAATGGTAAATGTATATAATAGCGAAATTTATCATTGTATCTAGCATGTAAGGAGAAGGGTATATGTAGTTAAATTAACATGATGTACGTCTTGACTATATTTTAGTTCGAACTAGGTACTGGTTTAGCATTTATCAATACATTCAAGCATTAGATAGTATTCAACCTTAACATGTGAATCCATTATTATATTTCATAGTTTGTGATATTGCCTTTACCTATTTGATATCATATTATACCAATTATACAACTTACATAACCTATATTAGCTTCAATCCGTGTATTTGAAATAATAGTTCCGAATTTACCTATATATCGCATTTACTCCATTGATGTCACAATAACATTTTGAAATTATTACTCAGTCCGTTATGACCAATTTATAATAATTATAATGTGTAGTCAGCATTCTATAAAACTCCAAAATACTTACCTATATTTGTAACATGTTGTATTCTATGTAATCTTCTATCCAAAAGACCAATTTTATATACCTGTTTATCCCCTTTTGTCTGAATAGATCAATTCTATTTCTATTTATCCGTACACGATATAGTAACGTCGAAATTTTTGAATGTTTATACTTCGCTTCCAACTTTTTGACAGTGTTTATAAATTAATTTGTTAGTTAAATTGGTGCCAATGTTGGACACCAACATTCGTTGAAATGTTATCAATTAATTTACATTTATGTAAGACTTAACATTAAGATGTTTGGCCAAATTAACTTCTCAACTGCCAATTATTTTACATTTGATAAACTATTGTGCGTTTAAATTTACTTGTTTACTTTTTATTGTACAAAAAATTGTTCTAATTGACGTTATGTTTAGTGTTGCATTAAAATACATGATGTTTCACATGACGTTTTCTTTTGTTTTTTTTTATTATGTTAGCATTTTTTCGATAACATTTATTTTGGAAGATTTTTGTTCGCCGCTGAAATAGGCTTTTGGTTTTATGCTAAATAATGATATTGTTTATTGATTTTCGTATTCATATTTTCGTGCAAGTAGCTTTGCTATTGTTCGATGTAAGAAATGATAAAGAATTATGTTTGGCTCATTTCGTGAATACGCTCGAGTATTTAGCACTTTGTTTTGGTCTTTCTTTTAGCCGTATTTAGCTAAAGTAATGAGTTGCGTAAGTACAGAGTGGTGCAGTATATTTTGTTGGTTTGGTTAGTCGTCTAGTTCGCAAGCGGCGCCCCCCTCGCCGCTCGCGGTGTTTACGCAGCAGAAGGTTCGGACGCCGCCCCCCTCCGCCCAGCCTCCCCCCGGCGGGCCCCCGGCGAGCCCGGCCAGCCCGGTCAGCCCGGGGCCCGCGCGCCTGCAGCGCCCCACCAGACCACCACCCGCGCCCCCTGCGCCTTCCGCCACACAAAAGCCTCAAGTGCCTCGCAAACCACAAACGAAGCGAGTTAGTTTTACACAAGAATCGATGGATGAACCTGAATACTTCTTGTCGACGAACGATACGAATACGAATTTCCGACCCTCATTGCATGACGTGCATGATGACGAGCAAGCGGGGCCCATGACCATTGACACTAACGATGCATGCGAAGGGTTCAGCTCTTTACTAATCCGAAACCAAACGTCTACCGAATTGGAAGTCTCGAGACCGGTCCCTAAAGCGAGTCGAGTACTTCACGCCGACCTCATCATCCCTCCTCCGCCTTTGTTCGACACTTACGTAAGTGATAGTGAATTAGTTGACGATGAAGATAACGAGGCAATCCTGCCACCTATCACTGTTATTCCCGAGCGGATTGTGCTGCCGGAACCTGCGGTGGCCGAAACATCCATGCAGTCCTCAAATTCTACAAATTCACCCGAAGCCGAAGTTCCTCCTCCTGTAAATTACACCGCGTTTCCACTTTTAGTATCCGAACAGGCCGTCCTTGACACGCCGGTCCGCTCAGTTATAGTGTCAGCAGTGCCTGCAAACCAAGTCTTCCGTACTCCAGATTATCCTGTAGCAGAACCTGAGTTTTATAAAGAACTTTCTGTCAGTCCAATCGGAGAACCAGATCCCCCCGAGTTGCTACACGCTCAGTACAAAACTCTCCCTACTGTGTCACATGTCCCTAATTCTCCATGTAATTTACATCCTGATCAAACTTATGTTGATCAGCGACCAATGTATGTACCGACGCACCGTTCATTACGTGACCTGAGGACAGATAATATTTCACCGGGTATGGTTCATTCTAACACGTACCCTCCAATCAATCCCTACCCATCTCTAACGACAGTCGCTGGAACTTACAATCCATACACTTGCACAGTCCCCGTATGTTCTTCCAATCAAATTGGCAATACAAGTCATAAATCACAGACCGCTCTAGTCAGTACCTTAGGACAAGACATAAATGCAAACATCACTTCATCTGTCCCCACTAATTACGATGATGCGCCTAAAAGTGTTCAATCAGAGAGAAGAGTCCGTTTCGGTGAGGTGACTACAGTGCCCGAAACCGATAGAATGTCGAACAGTTCGGATCCCTTGAGGGAAGGGAGCCCCACGCCCGCATCCGCCTTGAAACCCGCATGGAGCAGCAAAATCAAATCCTTCGCCATCGGCGAGGTAAACATCAATGTACGGAATCTTATCCTCGCACACACACACTCAGCTTCTTTTGATTGTGTTCGTCGACAACCCAACCTGGAGTTTTGACTAAAAACCACATAGTCTAGTCTATCATCCCTCCATATCCCATTATGTTACTTACCCCCATTGAATTGTTGTTTTTAACTTGCAATTACTTATATTTTGCATGTTTTAATTTACTAACCGCAATAACTTTATTTTTATTATTTATTAAAACATTGACTGCATGGGTGTGAAGCCTGGAGAAGGGTATTTCAATGCTTGTAAATATCATGAGCTTTTTTTAACTCATTATTTATTTGATCAGTGTGTAATTTTTAGTAAGCGTAGCTAATCAAATTGTCAAAATGTTTTCAGGCTTCCCCACCTCATTCTGGTAATTTTGTGAAAGCCTCTGTCAGCGATAAGAAGAAGTTCTTCGAAAATGCTATGGAAGAAAGTCACAAACCTTCGCCCAAACCAGGTAAGCATCATACAGATTTACGGAATTTGAACTTTAAATGCAACTGCAACTGGTTCATATATCCGAAATGATCTTACAACAAGAACTAATTGGATGTAATTGATATTTACAGAGAAAGTTTTCACATTCCTATCAGCGGATGAGGTGGAGAAATTGAAGCAAGAAGAGGAAAGGAAGATGGCCTCTCTGTCGCGATCAGAGCTCGGCTCGTGGTCCCCAGGGGAGGACCGACAGAGTGGATATAGCTCGCATTCCGACGACGAACCTTACGAGAATGGCCATAGGTACCTATAACACACCTAATTTTTTTATTGTAACTTGACAACGCTGTCATACTATTTTGACGTTTTAGTACAGGAATATTTGAGGCTCGAGCAACCGAAAGCGTATACGTAGACGTGCACGTACCACTGAGTTGTATAATACATATAATATGAAAATCTACGATGATATAAGATGTGTATCTTATATCGATTGCGTAAGCGCGCTTACGTCAATGACCGCACCAGTCTGCTCTAGCCTTTAAACCTTAAAATATTATGTTTTGAAACTTAAATATATAGTTACGTAACTTTTTAAAATAGTTACAATTAATAATGATTTCAGTGTGTCTGGAGGCGTGAGTCCGTCAGCGAAATCACAAAGACGGCGCGCTGCCCGCGACGGTGAGGTAGAGGACGCGGCCACGCGCGCTGCAAGGCGGGCTGCGTGGCGCGCCGCACGACTACGATCACTTGAACAGGTTAGTTAGGGATCAAGATTACATAATAACATCTAACTTTAGCCTGGTAATTAAACTGGGTATCCGGCTACTGTAAAATGCATCGCGAGTTCTATTCTGGTTCGGAAAAATTACTTGCGAGGTGTGTATGTGCAATTATTAATATATTAATGTAAACGCATCTACGACACAAAGAAAGTCTTCGAATGAGCCAGCATAAAAAGGCCTGTTATAGAAATGTCATTATTGCTAACGAATTTTACTAAATAGTTCGTACAAAAGATTCAAACTCTTTGCGTGATTGTGATTCGCGAGTAAAGAGGTTCCATTCATAAAAGTTAATGAATAGACATGGCTGTAATTCGTGAAACAAAAGGTGGATGCCATTAATGTTTTCTTTTTTATTTATGTTTCTTCTGCGTTATAAATAGCATTTTTTGTTTCGTATGTTACGGCCTGTTTTAGAAAAAAAGCAAATGAAAAACTTTTTGGAGATTCTTTAACACTAGTAGAAAAGAAATTCGTTGCTCTTATGGGAATATGTCGACCTGTATCTGTACAATAAATTATAATTTTGAATATTTAGGAGGCCCTCGAATCACAGAAAGTAATTAAAAGCATGGTGGGGCCAGCGAGTGACATCCTCGAAGATCCACCGAGGGAAAACTCGTCCAATGAGGTAATTATTCTGAACATTACTCTTGTGTCTTGAATAAACGAATGTTGTCCAAATTATAACACTAAGCAACCGGTTCTGTAAATGGAAAAAAGAATTTGACCAAGGCTTTAAAAATAGAGGTTCAATTAACAGGTACACTTTTTTCCATTTCAGGTTGAGAATGTTTTGTCATAATCCAATAATATTCCATTTGTTTGTCTGTCCGTAACTGTTAACATTGTGATTAACCCTGATACAATATTTGTCTTTGTCCAGTAAGCAATTATAAAGTCTGTCCTAGTTCCGTCTATTCAATTTGCATTATATTGGAACCGATGTCTTGTTGCAAGTACCTGTACCAGTAACAGTACTTATGTTGAACTAACACATTGTGGTAAATGTTTGTCTTATGGGTGGGGATCAATGTCGCTTGGTTGGCATATTATTGTACGTTCACCATGGGCTGCGTATGTCAAAATTGGCTTTACAAATTATAGAAATGGCCCCTACCACGTATCGCGTTACGTACAAAACCCGGCCCTATACTGGCCGTCAAGGAGAAAGAAAAGTTGTTAGACGAGCGCATTACTCTCCGCACCGAGGAGTTCGTGTGCCCCGCAACCGGCGAGACTAAAGTGCGAACCGTCGAGTACATTGAGAAAGTCATTGAGAAAGAGGTACGCGTATGACGCCGCGATTGTACATTCTGCTACGTAAGACGCTGTACACAAGCAATGCCGTATCGTGTGGTTTTTTATTATCTTTTTGTATATCTTTTACAACTACGCTTAGCTTTCAACGTGCAACTATGACGACAGACAATAGATTCGACTTTACTCGAGACTGACCAATGAAATGATACTTGTATCAAGACAATGAATAAACCGACTGACAAAGATCAACTATGTGTGTATAAACACTAAAATGTTAACGGGGCCTAGTGCACATAACGATACACACTATTCAGCACAAATTAAACTTGAAACACCACAACTGCAGTAGATATTTAATGAAAATTGTTTAATCATTTATTAAAAACGTCTATTTGTATTTATTTTACCAAATTCTACAAAATATTTTTTAATAAATTATAGTCATTATTTTTCTCTTGTAAACTTGGTTTTGTTTTCAGTAAATATCGTTTTTATAAGTTTGCGATTCTTAATCGTAGCAATTGACGTTCCATAATCTCTGCCTGCCCCCATAGAAGACGGGCGTAAGGCTATGTATGTAAATACCAATGGCCGATGGTAGCGCGCAAGTAGAATTTGGATAAATAACTATGAATGATGTAGTTTAATAAGTGATTATACAACTTTCTATAAAAATGAATACGAGATGTAGATATTCACGTAGTACCTTACACTCACGTTAAGTAGAACTAAAATCGACGTGGCAATAACAGGACTCGATGTATTGAACACCTATATTGTTATAAATCCCATGTTATATACAATTTATTTGCCCCATTTGACGGTACCCCCATTCCCAAGGTTTCCTCTTATAATTTCTTTTATTTCTTCTTATTTATTATCTGTTTAATGTTGTCACGAGTGTTGCATGATATTTGGCATGGCATGCTAACTTAATTTATTGTGTAATTTGTCAGACGATACCTGGATTCTAGACACGGCAAGCTTCGACGAAAACAATGGTTTGTTGCGTTTATTACTCTTCAGAAATATATACTAAAGCTTAGTTCATTGCTTTAGCAGCATAAGCAATACTAACTCACTAAAGCCTGTATATTAGAATAATAACAAAGTATATAGTGCACGTCCACTTCACATATTTACCAACAAAGTGCCCAAAGTTGTGACCTTGTTATAATTATTTTGCTTTTGATGTTGTGTTGTGTTGTATTATATTATTTAGTCACAATTTTGCGCACTAAAATCAAAAAGAAACATTATATCTTATTCTTACCGACTTCATCAATTCGACATTCATAATATTGTTCTACGATATACTTCAAGAACATCATAATTTGATTCAATAAATTCCTTCAAAGCCAGTATATCACTTCATGGTTTGTAATATACTCGAGTTACAGTCATACCATCTCATTTGTTTGTAACACAAGCGCCGATAATCAACGACATCAAAATTAACCGTTGTTATTAAAATACAGGTGGAAACGACGCAAGAAAAGATAATTTCTCTGGAATTAACAACTAGCCCGAGTAGTGAAACAGCTCCTACCGACCTGGAAGAGGCCGGTATTAGCTTAGGAGAGGCGGACATGGAAGGCGGCGACAACTCGCTGCAGCCCGACATCGTGCAGGTGGTGAACCCCTTGCTGGACGGCGGCGCGGGCCGCGTCACCGCCATCCCCGTGGGACCCACCCACCGCGTCACCGCCTACACAGAACAACCTCAGTAGACCACACTCACTCTAGATCTCTATCCTACCACGCCTCAATCTCCGCTCCCTTACCTACCTGAAGAAACTATCCCATGACAACATATCGGCTAGATCCACACCTCTAATAGACACGACTCGACCCCAGTCGAGCATCGGACTCGATTGTAGATTTCTTCAACGAAACGAACGTTTGTGAAACGAGTTTCCATCTTAATTTTGTATTGTAACTGTGATAATAAATTTAGATTCCACCGACTTGTTATGTTACTTAAAGGCGCTTGAAGAAATCCACTAGCGAGATGTGGCATTTTTATCACAATTTTTATTTTTTTATTTTAGTTTTGCGACGGAGATTTTAGAATAATTATAGGTGTTACTATATATTTTTGGAAATATTAATAGTTATTATTCTTTGGATACTTTACGTATTTAATTTTAAATGATTTTCATTCCGTGCAAGTCTTGTGACTGAATGTTGATGCTGTACCTGCTGAGGAATGTGACTGGTTGCTCGATCGGACTGTGAATGTAGGCGAGTGTAAGATATTAAACGTAGTACGTGTACATACCACCAACAACACGCAATGGAATGCGACGCAAGTGTACCACAGTGGCATCACATTTGACGATATAACATAATTATATCGCCCTGTACTTGCATTATACAATTACTTATTTTATTTGCGCATTGTTGTTTCGTTCAGTATTTTGTGTTTGATGATGTATTAATATTTTAATTTAATGTAATATTATAATAATTTAATTATTTTATGTGGTGCCTTGATTTCATTGAATCAATTTTTATATAATTATAATATGATTTTATCTTTCAGACTTCATAATGTTTTAATTTTATTATTCTTGTAATTTTGTTTTGGAAATTTTACATTAAGTTAGAATACAATGATTTTATCCTACAGAACGTGATGAACGCATTTGCATCAGTTTGACGGTAGAGTTTATGATTAAGTTAGTATTGCTGTAAATGTCCCGATGTTACTACAAAGTGTACATTTCCGACTGTATGAAATGTATTATTTGAGTTTATATGAAGAAAATTATGTATCACGGTAAATAAAATGGATGAGTTGAATGGAAGAATGTGTGTCCTTTATACCTTTCTAGTGATATGTGCATTGTAAACTATTGAAAACATTGTATGTTTGTCCCAATTAAATGTTTTAATATATATTTTAATAAAATTATCGGTTTGTTTTAATTTAAAACTACACATAGATTAACTGTAACTTTATTTAGTCTATAATATATCTAAGAAACACAATTAAAATGTTCATAATCTATTAAGAACAACAAAAATATCTTAAAAATATAACTAGTTGAATACTTTTACTTCTTTGGTGCAATGATGCCTTCCAGTTGAGCCTGAAATAAAATATTAGATGTTAGACATGGGTTAATCAATCTCAAAGAATCTCTGGTCTTTCGCCCAGCGGCATATTATATTTCGAGATAGGACAGTTTCCATAACAACATCACGCCTTTTATCAATTATACTTTGCTCGACCCGGGAATCGAACCCGAGAACCCTTGGCCGGCAGTCGCACTTGCGACCACTCGGCCAACGAGGTAGTCAGAACAGTTTCTATAGCTTCTATAGCTTGAGTAACAAAATGACAATGCCAGATCCTGACCCAGTCATGCTATAATTTACAAGAAAAGTAAATTGATGAAAATAATTTTGACGAATAAGGAACCATTTCAACAAGACTTCTTGGCCTCATTTTAACCTCTTGTATGTCGGTATTTAAGACAATAGAAAACGCATTGTGTCTCGCGTGGATCTACCCTCCAATATACTAGACGTTAAGGCACCTGGGAAACTAAGCATACCCATCCTGGATGTGGCTAAATAAGTTGAATTGTTCTCACCTTGAGCTGAGCGTTAGTCTTCTTCAAAGCAAGCAACTCTTCTTGGTGACGTTTTTCCTCAGCAGCTCGAAGCTCAGCCGCGCGTCTTTCCAGTTGCTCAGTCTTTTGTTTCAACTCCATACATTGCTTCTCCAAAGCTGAACGTTCAGTTTCCAACTTTGCCACTTGGTCCATTAAGTCTGATTTTCCTTGTTCAGACTGCGAACAAAAAGGAATTTATAAAAAGCTTACAACAGGTCTATTAAATGATGTACTGACGTGGGTCGTTGAAATCAGACGGCAACTGCTTCGTGTAAAATATTGGTATTCAGCTTATGACTGCAAACTGTAGACAAGTAATTATCGCATAAAATACTAAGTTTAACCAAAGGTCGATGACTTTCTATAAGTATAGGGTCCACATACCTGTAAAGCTTTCCTCATGCCGAAGGCAATAGAACTACAATAGAGCGTTTGGTACGCTTCCATCGTGATCCTTGCTTCATCTCTCACTCTTAGTAGCAGGAGACCCCTTTCGCCACAATTTATTGTTACCTGCAAAAAAGGCTTGCTGTCTAAAAGGTAACCATCTTTTATCAGCATCAGTTGGGAGACATACAATACTAAAATAAGCCGACAAGGCTTATTTTTTACTCGTTAGACCTCCTCTGTAGGTAAGTAGCCATAATTATTACTTTAGATTCTGAACTGGTGATTTGGAATTCGCAGTTATTACCGGAAAACTTTTGAAGTAACTCTTGAAGAATGCGGCTAGGCGCAAATTATATAGTTCGGTTTCAGAGGACTATGTCCGTGGGAGATTTTCTCCTAAGGACCCTCCAGTTGTGGAATGAACTCCCTGCCGTGGTTTTCCCAGTGGGCTATAACATGGGGTTCCTCAAGAGGGGAGGGATAGGTTTCTTAAGGGTCGGCAAGACACATGTAATGCCCCAAGTGTTGCAGGCGTACATAGACCACAGTAGCAGCTTACCATCAGGTGGGCCGTTTGCTTTTTCGCCACCGTCGTGGTATAAAAAATATATATATATACCAATCTCGGTTCAGAAACCTTTTACCATCAAACATATTAGCAGTGTGTAATTAATTGGCTAGTAAGTTTCACTAAGCTATTGGATAAATGTTTAACCTGTCGTATAAGTTCATCGAAGCACTGCGTGTATAGTTGTCTGCGCACAGGACAAATGCCTGTCTCTCTGGCTTGCCTCTGTTGCAAGCGCGTGTCCAACATTTCTTGCAGATTTATCACATCCAACCGAGTTGCAGGAGTCGACGATATCTGATGGAGAAGGAGAAGTGACATTTATATAAGTAACGCCCGAACACAGAAAGCTACTCAACTTTAAGGTTAAACTAGTCGCGGGCTCGAACTCAATCAAGGGCGTGGCCAAAAAGCGCGCTGTCTCATCTAACATCGTGTGTGACAGAAATAGTACCAGTGATGAGCAGTTAGACGCTATCTATTTGCACGACGTATTGTTCGCACGCACACAAACACAGCAAAACGTCACTGAACGGTGCATATATCTGTGCTGTGTGTGTTTACTCGTAGTAAAGTCGTACACGCTGCTACGATTTTATGATGCTCGCATGAATTTAATAATTATTGTCACAGGGCATTGTAATTACTGACAATTTTTTATGATATCAACTTATCATCCGATCCGAAGAATCCACGAAAGGCTAGGGATATAATTTTATATAATATTTTTTTTCTAAGTACCAATAACTTTATGTACCTACTACAAACTAGCTAGATGCATCTTTTATCTAAATAATACAGTTCAAATGTCATATTTTCATCAGGTTATAATGTTTAACTAATATTATAGTTTGTTTGGTTGAACATAATAATCTCAGGAACTACCTACCTATTTAGGTAGGTACTTACTGGTCTGAATTATTTCCTGAATTTCGAGACAATTGATCTGTCATTATGTTTTCATAAAATTAAATATATACTTACCTAGTTAGGTACGTCGGTGACTACCTAAGATTACTAGAAGTAGTGATAATACCACATAATTAGATTTTCGTCATTTCGTCCGTAACAAAACTTGTGGACTTCATACCTACATCGTGTAGGTAGGTCCCTAACTCCAACTTCGTGTTAGGTACCTACAGACTTTTTGGCAGCTCGGAACGTAACATAAAGCTGCGCACTAGGTACCTCCCTGACACAAACATAAGTAGAGATACCGGCTCGAATCTTGAGCGCTCGGCATCAAAGTGGGTAGGTATACATTGGCGAGCTAATCACTGTAAAAGGATTTTTGGGAGAAGAATTGTAGGTAGCAACAATCCTTCTCACAATACCTACTACTAAAGAGACTTGATTTCTGCGCAATCTGAGTCAACGCTCAATATTCATGCCGGTATAGTATCTGTATTAGCAGCACAGGAGAGCGCCGCAAGGCTGGGTATAATTGCTAAGGGTTCACCCTTTTAGTTACTTGCTTATTTATTATGCTTTTATTTATAGACAAAAAAAAACAATGAACCTGAAAAATCTTTATTGGTAATCGTAATATTTATCTATATCTATTCTATACATATAATAAATCTGTAGAAAAGTAATTTTTGTACATTGAAGAAATTGACAAAAAAAATAGCCAGTGTGTTAAAAGATAACCAACAGAACCCATTTCCATCATTTTTGAAATTTTTGTCTGTTTGTCTGTTTGTTTGTGCGCGCGTAAAATCTACGAATTCAATGCAGACTATATAAAAATTCTACGCAACTCGAGGTGTAACTTAGTTTTTGTTTCATCGAAATCGGTTCACTCTATCAGAAGATATGATTAATTTTGTGAGTTCAAGTAAAATGTTACAACACGCAATTCAGTATAGTACTCGAAATTATATCTTTGGAAATTTTTTTTCGTTTGGTCATTGGTTTGAAGTCCGAAGTAAAGATACTAATTGATATTATAAACAAGTAGAATTTTTTTTTTATGTGGGAAAATCATCGATTGATTGCTCCTGCCTAGGTGAGGCGGGAGGGAGTGTCAGACTCTTACTGACTAAAAACCACCCCGTTCCTTCTCCTGCACGTCGAGCCGGAGCCCCGGTTACCCGTTAGGTTCTCCGCGACTCCGAATCGGCATCGGCCCTATTGGGCCCCATCTGTGGTGGTCTGTTGGCTCTTTGAGGCACGCGTGGAACGCGACGCGCCGGACGCTCGGGTTTGTTTCTGGTCGGACGGGGAGCCACCCATGTTCGCCGTCCGCAGGCCCGCGCTTACAGTGGCCGGATATCGTCCCGCGATCCCCGACGCCCAGTGTGTCCTTCACGATGGCTGGGTTGCTGCTGGGATCCGCACCGATAACTGTATCTAATTAGATAAGGTATAATAAATTGTAGGGACGACTTACCCATTGTTTATTATGTATTTTCCAATGACACTTGGAAATTCCAAGTGTCATGCAATCAACCAAAACAACTTCACTAAATCACGACAATTGCACGACAGCGCGTGTCGTGCAAATAATAATTGTGCAAAAAATTGTGCAAAAACGCGTGTGCGTCTTCCCTCCGCCCCGCGCCACTGCCGGGGGAGTTTTATCCAGTGAAATGCACGATAATCCATCACAAAACGAGTGCGTAAAAAAGTACGATTTAGTGCTTTAGAAAATAGCGTTTTTTGAAAAAACCACTGCTTAGATCAATTTCAAATAAATTTTATAGAACTCTATGGTAATTGTGCTGAGTCGGTACGGTCTTCGGTTTGGAGATTTTACACGATTAGTGGTATTTTTTAACACCCAAAGTTGCGTTAAAATTGTAAAGAAAAACAAAACTTTGTTGGCTCATAACTTTTTAGTAGTTTTTTTTTTATTTTTTTTGTTTCCGTACCGACAAATGTAATTACAAGATAAAACGATATCGTGTTTAATTTTGTAGGTACACATTCACACTGTCGAGTAATACCACCCCGAACTTTCTATGGAAAAAATATCGACTAGTGTAACCTTAAGGTGTAAGTACATACCTAAGTAAATATCGTGCATTCCCTTTCATTTTACAAAGAATGTGTAGTGACAGAACTATAGATACCTAATTTAGTCCGACTTAAAATTGAGTAACGTTTGAGTATTTCAGCGTGAAACATGATACCTAGTAGAATATTTATATTGAGACTTCTCATCCTCCTAACGACAAACTGTAGTGGTAAATGAGAAACTGCCAGTCTTAATTTGTAATTTTATACAATAAGTAATCACAAACACAGCACCTTTTGAGTCCATATTTGTCCATCTTCCTCCCATTCCTTTGGCGGCAAAATAGCATTTAGGATCTCTTCAGTTTCTTTCTTGGCTTCTGTAGGGACACAGGGTTGTATAGAGGAACCAGCTAAAGTTACCTGTAAGAGTGTGCAGAACGAGGTTAGAACGCAAGTATGGGAGAGCCATGCTTCGGCACGAATGGGCCAGCTCGACCAGAGTGATACCACGGCCTCACAGAAAACCGACGTGACACATCACTTGCGTCGTGCGACTGAGGTTACCGGAGGCCCAATTACCCCTCTCCCCAATCACTCTAATCCCCAACAATACTCAAATTCCTAATCCCCAAGAGGCCGGCGACGCATTTGTAACACCTCTGGTGTTTTAGGTGTCTATGAGCGGCGTCGATTGCTTACCATCAGGTGACCCATCTGCTCGTTTGACGGTTTATTCCATAAAAAAGACCTATGGGTTGTTATTCCAAAGAACCTTGTCAAGAACTGCTTACTTTTTCAGTCCTCTTGGTAACCACTAGTACAGGATTGTCATAACGAACTAAAGTTTCTTCCGTGGAGACAGGTGCTCTTTCAGCCATTTTTAGAAATTATTATAATAGGTGATAAGTACCTAACAATTTTATTTATTTTTGACTAGAAATGTCAACGTCGAATACTTGTATTGTAAACAAAGTTTCGTTTCCATAGTAACTGCCTGTTGCATAGCAATAGCCGACAACGTCGTACAATGACATTACAACCCCTATACTTATTATACTCTTTGGACATTACCCTCGGAGAACCTAACGGGTAACCGGGGCTCCGGCTCGACGTGCAGGAGAAGGAACGGGGTGGTTTTTAGTCAGTAAGAGTCTGACACTCCCTCCCGCCTCACCCAGGTGGGAGCAGTCATTCGAAGATTTTCCCCCCTTAAAAAAAAACAGTATGCATTACCCATACAGCCAGTGACTAACTTCTACATAATAACTTCACGCCTGTCTCCCAGGGGGGTAGGCAAAGACTACGGAACGCCAATTGCTACGATTCTTACACACCTCTTTCGCTTCATCAACAGTCATCAGTCTTTTCATGTATACTAACTTCTACCAGGGTGTTTTAGCAAGTTTATCGGTGTTAGCTTTTTCAAAAGCAATGTGATATAAATATTCGAATAATAGTAACTAACAGAATTAACAATATGAATAGTAGGTTACGAGCATTATGCGGCACACCTGGTTCCGTTGTTCAGGCGAATGTGCATATGTACAGTGGTTTTAGTCGGTTCGAATCCGACACTTCCATTTTGCCACTAGCACCAGTAAGGTTACAGCTCACACAAAAGTGTACATCGAAAAAAGTATACAGCATATTTGTTGATTAATGATGTAATCATTACATTACATAGTTAATAAAGAAATATTATACAATATTGTATAATAATGTTTTCTCTACAGTTCCATATCAAAAGTACTAACTACCATCTTATTTACATCTTTAAATTACTCTAAACTTATCTTAAACTACAAATAAAACAGATATAAAATGTAAAGAGTTTGAATACTATTTTTAATCAGTAAATTATGCCTAAAACCATAGTACATAAATTACATTACAGATTATAATATAAAAACAGTCTTTAAATCTGATATTGCAATGTCCAACAAAAATCTTTCACTATTAGTCCACACAGTTTTTGAACTTCAACAAAACTTTTCCAAGTTATTAACATATTATTTGTGTTGTAAACACAATTTCTTCCTTATTCATTGAGAGTCACTGCTTGAACTTGAACTCGAATCGGTGGACATCACTTCAACATCTTCCTGGTTTGGCGCGTCCTTGCCACGGCTGTCGATGGACACGGAGTTTCCACCACCAACTGACATGTGGAGCTCGCCTGATGGATGCCATGTGAACTGGTTTGTTGCTGATGCTGGCACTAAACATAAAACAGTTAATAAATTAAGGAATTGCCAAGATATCATTGTGGTAGGACATGTGTATGTATGACCAGATATCTAAATGCTGAATGTGATTGATTCGAAACTAATCATAATTATTTATATGACTTTTGTCTACCTTCATAAGACAAAGGCATTAGTTTTATGAATCTTTGTATATCAACAAAGAAAACCTGCAATAAACCAGATTTATGAGATGTTTCACAACATAGTTACTTATTATATGTATGACTAAATGAGGAAATGCACTGTGCACTGTGGCATTTGCCATAACATAAAATAATACATAAAGTTTATTCAAGCATGGAAATACCCATAATTGCAATTAAAAAGATTTCAATATACAAATGAGAATACATTTCTAAGTAAATTAATAAGTAGCGTGACTCACCTCCGCCTGTGGTCATTCTGTGCAGTTCATTTAGTGTGGATGGAGTGTGTCCATTCAGTGGCAAGTCACAGAGCCGGCCGAGCATACCTAACCGCATCTCCAGGTCTGTGGGGTATGGACGGCGAGGATCTCCAGGCTGCCAGGAAAGAGGTGCACTCACTGCATTTGATGCACTAATTCTGTGAATTAATTCATCAATTTAGGAAGACATAACAGTAAGTACATTGAATAAATTATAATTGAAGATGAGGGAAAAAGAGGAAAACCATATACTATAAAATATATTAGTTTTTAAATGAAAGTTTGACTTGAACTTACCTGTGTGCAAACTTAATCAATTCTTCTGATGGTACCGGCCGTTTCCTAGACTTAACTATTGATGCAAGCTTCTGCCTAGCTTGGTATAATGACGTTGCGAGAATTTGTTCCGCATCTTTTAGCTGCCTTTGTAATTGAAAGATGTCTTGATCCTACATAGATAAAACAATATTTTAAAAATGTGTTGAGAAGTTTTTAATGAAATCTATAAGATGATTGTAGATTTACTTAACCTTATTTTCAACTTCAGCTTTCAAGTCATTCATTTTTTGTTGAATCTTAGCCTGTTCATCAGCTAACTCCAAAGCTTTCTTCAGTTCTGAATCTTTTGACAGCAACAATTCTGTTAACTGAGCATGGTCTGCGGCAGAAAGCTTTTGTGGTTTTGGAGCTATTGACACTTCAATCATTTCTCTGAAAGAACAAGTAATAGTTACAATGATATCTACTTTCATGTTCATTTTATTTACCACTACTAGGTCTTAGGCACTTACTTTGAAATCAACTCGATATCATCAATCAGCGCCAGGAGTCGGTCTTTAGTACTCAGATGAGATGCCATGGTATTTCACTTAAATGTTATTTTAGTCAACACAAAGATAGGATTGTTTTCGGTACGATTGTTTTGTTTTAGAAACGATCAGACTGCGTCCACACAGCACAGCATTTATCAATGAGTTTGACACTAGGTTATGAATGACAGTTGATTGCCACTGTCAGACTAAAGGGTTGTCAGGTAAAATATATGCTAACAATTTAAAAAGTGTAATATCCGTAGTCCAAAAAAGAACATGAGATTATTTTGTAGCAAGTAATTGTTGTCGATAATGTCTTGTAGAATTTGGATTTTATTTGAATTTGGTTTTATTTAGACCAACATACCTACTAGGTACATATTTTTAACCTGGCAAACCACTTATAACTCAATCGATTTATTTTTAACCGTCCAAAAAATTTGGTGGTTCTCAATTTGCCTGTATGTTTATTTTGTTTTTACCTGTGTTACGCGATTATCGGCGTTTATGTGTGATTAAATTTTATTTTATACATAAGTACATAATCTTCCTATACATAGGAACTTAAAAAGTAGACATAAAAGTGAAACTAAATAATTAAATAGACTGGATAAAAATTTTGAAAATGTTAGTTTGCCAATGCCAATTTGCGTCGTATCGTATCATGATAATCACAATGCATTAAAACTACAAACCTAAAATAATTGTATAATATTATATAAATAATAATATCTTTCTGTTTAATCCCCCAAGCGGTCAGCGGTGACCGCTCTCCACTAACTCCATTATAACCGCTATTTCTGATGTTTAGAGAATACTTTTGTATGAACAAATTTTTGGAATTTTCGGTACGATAATTTTATTAAATTAACGTATTAATGTGTTTGTTCAATTGCATCTGAATAATAAATATTATATAATATTTATAAGCATGAGCACTTGCGGTAAATATTTTTTATAATAAAGACGTATGTAAGTACTTTAGGGCAATTATTTAATTGGCTTTCTCTGAGCGAAGTTGTATTGTAAGTCATACAATTTCCCAGGTTCATGAAATTTTATAACAGAGTCCTAAACCATTAGAAAACAATACAGTGACTTTTAAAGTGAAACTAAACCTACTTATTAACTTTTCAAAGCTTGGTATGCCAGTCGTCGTCCGATTACTAGGTGTTTACGTTAAGTATTTATCCTGTGTGAATTCCTATATAAATGTGAAGAGTACCCCAGGGCAGCGTACTGGGTCCAACACTATTTTATCTATATTTATTTACTCATTTACCTATCCATTATTACATTGAATCATACTCATATGTCGCACGGAATCGAAACTACTAGGTGCATATAGATACTTACCTACTTATTACCTTGGTTTGTTTGTATACGTAGTCATATTATGCGATTCACGCGAACCGGCTTGGTGCACGCTGTTGCTGCGTGATCAGCTGATGCAGAGGGGAATGTGGTTAGAGAGGGGATTGGGGCGGTAAGCGGAGAAGGGGGGCACGACCACGCTGTGAACATGCGCACTCCACGTGCTAGTGGGTCTTTATTACTGTGCGTCAACTAAAATAATAATAATTTTATTTACTGATATAACTCGTTTTCTTCTAAAATACCATTGTTCAATGCATTACATGTGTGGTTTAGTATAATTTTACCTACAGGAAAGTGGTTTATTATTTTCACGCCGTTGTATTGTGCTATTTACAGGAAAATTAAAAACTAGGAATTTTGTTTAGTCACGTCGTTTTTAATAGTGGTTGTAGCATTCATTTGTTTCAAACTGAGTTTGGTAATGTATTGTTTTCAGAACTAAAATACTAGAAATATTTTAAATTTCTTTTGGCACACTAATAAAGGCTAAGATACCACAGCCTAACGTAATCAGTTACTCAACGCATACCTTTATGTGAATAAATAGCGTTTCCCAAAAAATTAAATGAAACAATACTGAGGTTTTTATATTTTTATTAAGATTTTCTTTCATCACGACTTATTGAATTAGAAAAATTGATAAAATTAAACAAAAGTGTCACAATTTCTTGTAAACATTATTTTAGGCTGTGGCAAAGGTTTCTTTCATGACATCACACGGTTGAGGTGCGGGGAGGGGCGTACATTGTTGATTCGATCGGACGCCCGCTGCGCTGGCTTGCTGCAAGTTTACCCGGTCCAGTGCGAGCTTGGCAGTAGAGGTGAAATTGGCTCCTCTGCCAATCTAATGGAAAATCGCTCCTTTGAGAAAGTGTCATCTGCAATCGTGTTAAACAAATCAAACATTCGTCTTAGACGCGACAATTGCCGTAAACAACAAATCCTGCTCCTGCTATTATGTTGTTTAAACGGATCATTGAAGGAAAGTCCATGTTGAACGCGGATGCCAAGAACATTTCGTCGGAGAAATGTTCTAGAAGGAGGTCGGAATGTGATGGATGTAGTGAACATTCCACGTAAGTCTGGAGCCTGGGTATATATTAACTTGGTTGTAGTTTATAAGGACTTACTGGTTTACTAATCATTCAAAACGCTTCCCTAGTAATCGCACATAGCATTGAACTTTAACTTTTTTAGTTAAACTATATAAGAAAGAAACAAAACGTTACAAAGCTAAGCGCAAAAACTGGTCAGTTATTTTTAATGCCAGTTAACATCAATGCCACCGCTATGCACAGTATGCACTCACGGCCGACTTATAGGTACAAAACTGTTGCAACTTGCAGTTAACGCGCACTTGTTTGTTTTCCTTTTGCTCTAACAGCTATCGAAAAAGGATTCTTTATTCAAATAAGTACTTAGGGACATAAAAGGTTTCCCGAGGTCATTGAACTTAGAAAAACAAGTTACCTGATTTCGCATAAAGGATTTAATAAATGGCCCATGTCATGTCAACAAATGATTGATTTCATATTCGTCTCGATGTTATAAAACATCGCATGTTTATTTTTCGCACATAACCTCGTCCACGTCGGTTGAGGTAGGTTAGTGTTTGTTTTTAATTTGGTAAGTAGCTAATTTAGATGCCTTCCTTATAACGGCAGAATGTTTAAAGTAGTTGGTTATTTATAACAGAAATATGAATAAGTAACCGGTTTTCTTAAATTATAAAAACAGTTTAAAAACATACGCTAGGTACGTTATTTAGGTCGTTGCGTCCAGAGAGTAATAAGATGTAGGTCACAATGGGCGGTCTCGATTTTTCTATGACTTAGTAACTGATAAAGAATTCCTTGGACAATGTCATTGTACTCGGTATCGGTATCAGTACATGACATAGTGCATTTGAATGAACAGTTTATTTAATTGCTTAAAGAAAAAGCACTCGATCTTTACGGTAGATTTTTGTTTAATTAACGGTTAGAACTATTTCGAAACAATATACAAATAGGTAAATAGTTATCTTTAACGGTATAAGTTAATTGAAACATTATGACAACTAGTCAATTATTACTTACTAATATTTTATTCATCCTCATCATCGTCGTTGTCACACCACAAAACATGTCGACGTGTTGATGCACCGATCAAAACTTTTTTACTTACGTAATTGTTTATTTAACTCGTCGAGTACCGGTTTTATAGACACAATTAAAGAACAATAGGTCGCGGTCACCGGTGACCGCTTGGTGTTTGACAGTTTAAACTTCTTATCTATGGATACAGTTATTTTTATCAGCAAACAGAACTCTTCTAATAGCGTCTTCACTCCGTTTAGATACGTAGATAGTGAACTAATCAGAACTCGAACTAAGAGACTAATTATCTAAGAAAATATAATATTACACTTATCTAATTTCAACTAGAAAATTGCATCCGTAAAGTTTTATATATAAACAAATGTTTTATCAATATTTTTGTTTAGACTAGTGTATATGTTCAGGATTTAGTTTTAATTACGCAATTAATTAATACATTAATCAGAATCCGCATATCGTTGTATAAACAACTATAATTGACTAAGTACAATAATTTAATTGGATCTGCGTTTGCCTGTAAACTATTTTTGGTTATTTTGGTATAATCAAATTGTTTTCATAGGTATTAATTCAAGCTAAGTAATTAACATAGGTGCATCGAAAAAATATACTGTGTATAGGTACTTTCTTGACTTAAGGTTCGTTGTACATAATACAGGAAGATTCGTAAAGTAAAAACATTTATCCGAATCCTTGAACGATTCTTTATCCTATAAACATTAAAAAAATCTCGTTGACTCATTTGACGTCAGACCTGTGATTACTTGTTGATATCACGTCAATTACCTTTAAAGTGTCACAAGAGTTGAGAAAAAACAAAGAAACCAATACTCACTGGCTAGTTTAGTAACGCAATTAATTGATATAAGTACATTGAACATCTACTAATTGACATCATAAAATTATGACCAGTTGAAATCACTCCCCGGCAATTCCCTTAGAAATGTTTTTTTAAGTAAGAGATAACTAAATCGGGCAAAGGTATCAACAAAATTCACTAAAATTGAATTAATCAATCTTTATGTATAATCGTTACATATAAAAAGCAATAAGTGACCATAGTTATGAAATATAATGCGAACAATCAACAGAAGTAGAATCAACTGAAGCTTCCACTTACCTTTTTAACACTGCAACTTTGCACCTAGGTAAAAGTAGTGTAGATTGCAGATCTAAAAAAATATCTTTTAAGTGCACAAACAGTAATTGATTCTTTCATTTAAATTAATATACACATGGTTAAACAAAAGCCAAACATAAAAGCTGAATGCAAAACTAAGTTGCCAAAAAATAACCAAACAAAAAGGGAACTGGGATGTCTTCCCTACCTTGTTTAACGCCAATTTCGCTGCTCAAGTCATTTTGTATGATCTTAAAAAATAATCTTCTGACTCGATTCCATGAATGAAATCTGTTATTACGATCCAACTGCTCAGTAGTTGGTGCGTAATTAATCTGAAAAACAACAATAAACTGATTAGTTAACTAGTATTCCAAGACCAAACATTGATTCGTCAGTTGTTTTCCGACAAAAACACGGATTCTCTGAACTAAACAAGACGAGCCCACTTGATAAATTATTATAATTAGGTACATTAATGATTGCACATGCCACCTGATTAGTTCTATCTTTAGCCGGAACTGTTTACTGTATCGCGTAGTTCAGGGGGCTCGTCAATTTATCGTGTTATTACTGAAAATTGCAGATAGTAGTGACGAAACATGCGCGAGGCGGGTACTTCAACATTATCTGCGGGGACGCAAACAGGTTATCAAGGGTCGTAATGATACTCTTCTCGTAAATAGGTACTCATAAAACTGTTTATCCAGTCGCTCGTTGATCAGTTGGACTCCAAACGTCTCAGATATAAGAACGAAGTATGTTAATAGTTAAAATTTTTCATCGGTCGGTCTCTTGGCATTTAAATTCGATTATTATTCGTATAGTGCATTGTGAGTATTGTGACTCATAGCTGGTTACTCCTTTGTTCCAGTATATTGGAAGAAATGATGAAGATGGTGTTGCTTGGTGTGGTGCTCTGGGCGGGAGTCACCTTCGGGAGTCATGTGGCTCCTTATCCTCTAAACCTTATTTTATCTACTGGTAAGTTCTACTTTATATTCGTCCAAAATTATTTCAAACAGAGTTCAGTTCTTGACAGTTTTATACTTTTGCAGACATTAGTCATCCACCACCTATGTATGATTATCCGTTTCCGAGTGCTGAAATGTTGAGAAGGTTACCGCCTGTCACAGCGCTACATACAAACAGGTCGATAAGGATCAGCAAGCTAGAAGTATCCATGTTAGAAAGGTTGGAAATAAACCTGCAGTCCGCTGGGATCACCCCTAAAGCGGGCTCTGCTGCCCTTGGTCTGGCGATCGACGGTTCGGTCTCCGAAAATGCCATGCACTATGAGAAGTCATCGATGACGATCACCAAAGCGTCTCAGAATCTAGTCTATACGAGATGCCGAAGGTAAGTTTCTAAAGATGGTCCATGCCTTTATTTAATGTAGAATTCGTATCGGAACATTTAGGTTTACACACTTTATTTGTCCACATTCAGATATGGTTTGCCTAATGATGAGTGTGCGAGTTTCATCAGCACGTTGAATTTGCGTGAGAGTGAGTTTGGTGGCGAGTGTGCGGCTCTAGAGCGTTTCACTTGTCATACAAATAAGATGTCGTCGAAGTATCGTACTTTTGATGGTTCCTGCAACAACCCCGTGCGGTCTTCCTGGGGTCAGGCACTCACCGGCTACAAACGTCTTCTGCATCCCAGATATGCCGATGGCATTGAAGAGGTTGGTTTTAAAAATGTTGAATGGATATATTTTTCCCGAACATTACTCATTCAAATATCAGATAAGGTCACACAAACAGAATGACCTTAGGCATGTGTTATAGTTTGTTAAATAAACAACTTGATTGAAATCAGGTTTTATTGAGATTATTTGTACTTACAATATTCATTGAGTAACAATTTTGTTTGTGAACCGAGCTTGTGGTATTTTGTCTTATTTTTTGTATATTCTTGCAGCCTCGTCGTGCTTTGAGTCACAATGCGTTGCCGTCTCCTCGTGCTGTCAGTACTAAGCTTACAAGTAACCTGGACGTGCCAAACAATGGCAAGACAATGGCATTGGCTATCTGGAGTCAGTTTGTCTACCATGATCTGGTCCATACTCCGGTTCGCAAAACAAGTAAGTTCATGAAGATGAATCAGTCATGTGACATAACTTATTAAACAGGATCCTTGAGTAACAATAAGTCTGGTTGATTGAATCGCAGCGACACGTTCCAGTTGTAATTTGCAATTGTAATTTAAAGCTGTACAGCTCATGATACCTACAGTCCACGTTTCATGTTTTAATTTGAATTATAATTGTCACTATATTTACAAAAATATTTGTTTGATCAACAGTTCATACGAACCAAGCTATTCGGTGCTGTGGAAACGATGGGTTCCCTCTTAGTCCAAGATACATCCATCCAAGCTGTATGCCTATCTCTGTGCCTCATGATGATCCTTTCTACAAGGAGAAGTATGTCACCTGCATGGAGTACACACGATCCGTTACTACTTACAGAGGAGACTGCACTTTTGGAGCTGCTGAGCAGGTAAGAAACTGGTTCATTAATTTTTGAGTACTTTGTAGAAGTTTGTATTACGCCATTATTCAACCTCAAAAAGTAAAGTGAAACTGGTGCAAATTTCCATATCAGGTAGGTTTTTTAGAGTTAGCATTTTTTCATACAATTCTGAGCCAAAAACGCTAACAATCTTGTTTTGAATAGTATACCTATATCAACAACTTGGTTCCTTGAACTCTTGCGCATTGAGATGGCAGTAGTTATATCAAGAAAGGCAAAACAATTGCATTGATACATAAGATCGTATTCTATTTGTTTATGACATACAATGACGCGACTTCGATCATGTATGGGCGACGTGACTGGTTGTAGAGGTACATTGAACGAGTACAGTACCTATGTCTTATTCGGTGTTCTTTGTTTATTAAATGGTATAATATTGATTCACATGTTAGTGTGCCAGAATTTTTAATGCGTCAGTTTATTTGTTATTTTGTAAAGTATTCCTTCATGCTTTAGTTTTGTGTATACGAACCACTTCTAAACCATCTAACAAAAGTCTTGATAATAAATAAAAGAAACATGAGAGTCCCAGTAGTATTTTTTTTGTCTTTCTATTCTTATTTAACGTTATGTATTATTTAATAAAAGTCAAATTAAACGTATGATTTGATGACAACAATATCCAGGGATTGTGATGTACTTATTACATTGTAAATAATAATAGCAGTTTTAATATCTCTTTGACGTCAAACGCGAGTTTAATAAAAATATGAACAGCAATATATTTTCGCGATTACAGAGAAAAGCTTTATGTGCTTATTTATTATCATAACATAACATAATTATTAAGAATTTTATATATATAAATATAATATTATACATCTCAACAATATATTGTATAAGTAGTCCAATAAGCAAAACAAATTGACACGAGGACTATCAATTGCAGTCTTTAGAATGTGAATAAATGAAGACGCAATTTGTAAACTACTCAAGTCATTGATCGGTTCAAAAGTCCAAATATTCCGAATGCTAATCGATTCGCGTTATCGATTTGTTCTTGACTATTAAACTGAGAGGTTTCAATTGATCGGTCTAGGTAACTAGTGTGTTTATATGAAGGCTAAATATAGTGCAGAGTGCAGTCTAGTTGCTTCTATCGAGTAGTGTTACATAAGGTCAGATGATAAACGTAATGCGCTCGAGTCATATTGGTAATATCCGGATTAACTTCTATGCTGTTGATAAGAGATGGACAATAACATGTTTTTGTGACATACATACGTACGTACCTACCTAACTACTTAGCTACTCATTGCAATAGATATCTATTTGATAGATTTGGTAAGACTTGCACCGTTTTTCTATATTGTGTGTATCTGCAATTTACCTCTAGAAGAGGTTAGTCTTTTTTGGCTTTTCTATAGGACAAGCCGGTAAACGATCAGACGGATCACCTGATGGTAAGCAATCAGCGCCGGCAATAGACACCCGAATTACCAGAGTCGGCGTTACAAGTGCGTTGCATTTTGGGAATTGGGCATTTTAGGATTGGGGTTGATTCGGGGATTGTGGAGCTTAGGGGGATGGGTTTTATTGGGCTTCCGGTAACCTCACACCACGAAACACAACGAAAAGCGTTGTTTCACGTCAGTTTTGTGTGAGGCCGTGGTATCACTCCGGTCGAGCCGGCCCATTCGTGTCGAAGCATGGCTCTCCCACACTTGTCTATGAGTTTATTTCGATGTTTTTTTTTCTAGTTTTATTTAGTTTTAAAACATTGATACGTTAAAGTATTACCTTATTATGTATCCTATTCATTGATTAATAACTACTTCCTGTTAAAAACTTGATTGATTAATTTACTGTTTACCGTTACTACATATTTTTCTATCTGCCTATGAGTACGATAGAACAATAGTTAGGTAGATAGGTACCTATGATATGGCCCGATGTACATATTTGTTGATTGCATTAAATAAACGTTGCGTGTTAACCTACCTAGTTATTATGCTGATTTTGTGCAGTTTAGTTCAACCATGTTGCGATATAAATATGTAAGTAGGTACTTATGTACTTGTGTCGTTGTGGTTTGTTTATGTTAAGTACGAGTTTAGGTTTTGTAATTATACCTATTTGTATACTAAGTTAAGCATTTGCGAAGCCTAAAAGTAATTTATACATATACCACGACAAGCTATTTAACTTTATTTACAACATAGGTATCTAACTAAGTAGTTCACAATGATTTGTAATTTATAATATTCCCATTATTCAACGCAACGTTGAGGATTGTTTATGCTATATATTTCATTTTGTTTACCCGTACTTTCCTGGTTAAGTAGCTGTGACTACGGCTACGACTGATAGCTAGGTAGGACGGATTTCATTAATGAACATGAACAATAAATATTTAGATAGCAGTGACGATGAAGGAAAACATTGTGGGGAAACCTGGGCTTACAGTTTAATTAAATTTGATAATGCTACCGTGCATTAAGCAAGTGTGGTAATTCATACTCAAATCTTCTTCGTCTGAGATAAGGCGTTAACCCAGCTGTGGGCATTTATAGGCTGTTGATGTGTGATGTGTGACGTGAACAATAATAAAAATGTCTCTTTAGACAATCAAAACACAACTTTAAAACCAATAAATCAAATCAGATATTAATTTAACAACTGTATATATTAGTACGTGATTCATTGCTTCTTATTATCGAACTGTTATGGAAAAGTTCTGCCTAAGAAAGCAAGCGTGCTTTGTTTTATCAATGCTGTGGTAAATTTCCTTAACTTCCTTGTGTCTAACTGAGAATGTTTACACAAACGATTTAAGCCAGTAGGTAATTGACACTGGATTTAAAATTTGCTTTGTGAAAACACTAATATTATTGTTAGTGATACCATGAGATAGTACTACTCACATAAAAGCGTTTTGTTTGACTTACAAGTCTTCTAATTAAGATCTCTTTTTCGATTTCGTCAAAATTATATCAGTTAGTTAGGTAGTCTAAATGAATGTATTTTGAAAGAAAGAAGAAAGAAAGAAAAAGCGTTTATTTGCACACCGTCACAAGGTACAACGACACAAAAAATAAAATAAAAAACAATACAATAAAGACGGCGCAAAAAGGCCAGAGTGTGCTCGAGTCGCGGCGCGATTTTCGCGATTTTCTAATACGTGCATATCTTTGTTAGGTGTGCGTATGAAAAATACTCGTAAAGCTAGGTTCAAGGCTTTAGAACGGTCATAAAGACGTAAAGCTAATTAATTGAATGGAATAACAATGGTAATTATAATTGCAAACACGCAAGAATTTCGTAATCAACAGAAATGTGACACAATCCCGCAATACAGCATTTTTTTCTTTTTTTCTAGATGAACCAGGCTACACATTTCCTGGATGGGTCAAACATTTACGGCGCAAACAGTTACGATGCAGCAGCCCTACGTGAGAGAACCGGTGGACTTCTAAAGACCGCTCAAATTGAAGACGAAGAACATCTGCCATTAGTTGCCAACCCTACTGAGCAGTGCCTTGTGGACAGCAAAACTGGAACTTGCTTCAACACTGGTAAGTTTGAAAATAGAATAAAATAAAATAAGGTTTAAGAACTGGTTGGTTCACTTTTTGTTGGAATAGCTGATGCAGTTGGTTGGTTACATAGTAATATAGGGACGATGCCCTAAAGATAAAAATAGCTAACTATTTTATTACATAGTAACTTATATAGACTGCATCGTTGGCCGGGCAAGGGAACTCGTTCTCAATAGTAGCACGGAATCTGGAATTGTGCCCGATATATGGCAATAGGCTCACCACCTATTACATGGGACTCATAACATAAAAATGTAACAATTTTACAGTTTCATTAAGTGCCGTAATGTGCACCTCTGCTTACCCCTTCGGGCATAAAAGGCGTGATGTTATGTTATGTAATATAAGTATTAATGCATTGCAACAGCTTTAAAATGAAGACGTAGACGAAAGAAAATTAGCGTCATTATGATTATCATGCCCAATCATGTCTCAAATACCAAAAGTGTCATTTTATTGACATCGTTGGAATAACCAAATTGATTTTGGACTTTACGCGTTTAACTTTTGAATGCAAATTGAAGGATCAACACTCAATTTACGTCATAAGTTAATGCATTTCGCAAATTAGACATAACATATTAAAAGGATCTTACTTACTAAGTGAAACTAATTTCCAAATAAACACGAGAACTATAGGTATTCATCTATTGTTTACAAAGTTAAACGTGCCATGTGAGAGTACGATAATTTTGATAACAATAAGAGATAGCGAGATTATGTTATTAAGATTACGTTTCCTTTAATGGTTGTACCTATCATTATTACGATAAGATAAAAGAACTGTAAATAATTCTATCATTCTGTCTTCGAATCGAGACTAGTGAAATGCTACTTTTTGCTATGTGACCGTGTATCGACAGATTGTTGTGGTACATAGTCTCCTTTAGCTTTAGATATACATATATAACCTGCCTGTCTCCCATGGGGTTAGGCAGAGGCTATTGAACGCCAATTGCTTTATAAAGATCTAAAGAAAAAGTAGTGTCAAAGACAAAAAATGTTTCGCTATTCTGAAGCGCGATCAAAACCTACATAGTCCAAGTGCTCCAAATAGTACTAATCTTAATTAATAGGTTCATTAGCATTATCTTATATAATTACATCTTTAAACAGCTGTAACCCAGTTTCATAATCGATTTGTCACTCTACATTGGAGGGCAAATTGCCCACATTTAGAATTCAAGACGTCACATTAGGTACATGAATAACTCTTGTTAGCATACTGGTGACTGATTTCAGTATCATCGACCTTTGCTGAATTAAAATAGACTATCTCTATTTCAGTGTTGGCTTTCGTTATAATTTGAAGTCATGAATCAGAAAGATTTCACTTATGAAAAGTCTATTTCGAATTATTTAACATGTGTTACTGTTTGGCAAGGTAACTCAACTAATTTCAAGCTAAGCCAGGGGCCCATAAAGTAGCATGTAAAATACCAATTATCCGGGTTTACCTCATTAGAGTATCTTTCTCAATATTTTCTTTTACCAACAGGTGACGCCCGTGCCAACACCCATCCATGGCTAGCGAGTATGTACTCCATTTGGGTGAGAGAACATAATCGCATCGCTCGTAGTCTGGCTACTCTGAATCCTGGCTGGAACTCCGACCGTCTGTACCATGAAGCAAGAAGGATTGTTATCGCTGAACTCCAACACATCACCTACAAAACCTGGTTGCCTGCACTTACCGGTAAGTTTAGAAGTAATTTACTAAAAGTACATAAATTATAATCTCGCTTCATTATCTTGTATTGTGTTCACTAAACAATAACTAAAAAACAAAAGATGACATCGTTTATGCTATAAAGAGACAAAAGAATAGGATTGCAAAAATACAAATAAAAACTTTGGAATCGTACCAAAAACAACCAGTCTTCCTTAACTGTTAGTAAGGTTAAACTTTTCATGTTACAGGAAAATCCTTCGATGAGTTATATGAGAGTTATGACCCAGGATACGTCTCAGAGATTGATCCCACAATTACAAACTCTTTCGCCACCGCCGCCTTCCACTTCGTCAACAGCATTCTTGACCAGGACATTGAACTCGTTGACAAAGACAACAGTGTGACGCCTCACCGCCTTCTGAACAACTACTTCAAGCCAGAGCTGGTGTCAAAGAAGGGAGGATTGGAGAAGATCTTAAGAGGAATGATTAGCCAGAAGAGTCAGGGATTGGACTTCAACTATGATGATGACGTAAGTGTCTTTAAGATTTGTTATAAGGGATGATTGAATGAAAAGATGAAGGTAATAGACTTGGACAGGGAGACAAAAATATAAAATACTTATGGAATAGTTTTGACGGCGATGTAATCAGTGATATGACCTTAACATTGCAATGACATTGAATTTGTCTTGTTGTTATTCTAAGTAAAGATGTAAGGTTATTTCATTTAGCAAACACAAGGTCGTTTATAGTATCTTTATAGAAGATACTATAGATGAGGTCAAATAACATGCCAAAATGGCATTAACATTGGAGATGATGACTAGAAACCTTTACTTACTTGTAGCTTGAAGTGATTATCAACAAAGTCAGTGTTTAGTAAGACGAATGTTGTGACGCAAAATCAGTCTCAACTGGAGAGTAGGCACTAAATCTTTACATATTTATGCTAATGAAGCGCAAAAATATTTACTTTACATATCTGCAGCAGCAACGACACCTTCATATCAGTATGTTTACAAAGTTCGTTAGTTAATAATGAATGCGTATTTACTTAGGTACCTTGACAAAACATAAATCTGAGAGGATTGAAGATAAAGGAATTCTCTTTGTGTTTGAACTTATTGAAAATTGCTGAACCGATTTCATTAAGACAACGCAGATAGATAAACGTCTCTTTAAAATAGCTAAGCGAATGTACTTATGGTATAAGCAAATCAAAAGCCGGCAAAATGAAATAAGCAGTGTTGTAAAAACCATAAAAATCGATTCAATGTTTGCAGTTAAGCATTTGAAACGCCTTCCGAGTAGAGCATTGATTCTTGATAAGAAAAACAAATCGATAAAGAATAATTGTTCACGATTTTTATTTCAATATTTTGTTCATGTGTTGAACAATGGTCTTATAATTTGAATGTCACTTTGAATGTATTTACCTTTAGCTTAAATGTACTTATAGTACAATGAGACATCAACGAAGACAAATTATCTGTATTGTGTGATATGACTACGTGTGTATTAAGGAGTAGACTTTTTCATTATGAACTTGTACAGTGTTTTCTTAGACCATCTCATTTTTAATTCTAAAATGCCTGGCCTTTAAAACGAATTATAAATATTTAAAATCATTTTTTATGTTAATCGGTTTGGTTTAGTCATAGACTACAAGATTTTTACTGTCTAACTACGAAACCCGTTAGAAAATAAATGAGGTACCCTTGTATTTACAGTTTATTGAGTACTTACTTGTCTCACTTTGAAAATGATAAAAGAAATGCTACTGAATCAATTTGTATTACTTACCTGCATACTAAATAAGTAGTCCGACAAATAAGGCAGACTGAACACCGTACCTGTGGCATCCTTTACCACATGGTTCTGAAGAAAAGTTTATAAAAGCATCTATTACCTTCATCATTCTTATTAAATATCAAAGTCTTAAATTGCTTTATTATAAAGGTATTAATGTCTTATTTTCTTTGTCAACAGCTTCGTCAGCAATGGTTGGGTGGTCTTGATGTGTTGGCTGTGGACATCCAACGCGGTCGTGACCATGGTCTACCTGGATACATCCAATACCGCACTCTCTGTGGTTTACCTGCCGTCTCCAGCTTCCAACAACTCAGTGATGTTATGCCAGAAGAGGTAAGATCCTTTACTGGACCTTGGCTTTAATCTTTTTGGCTTTTGCTTACGAGTAACCGAGAAAAGTCTTAAAATACAACTAAAAACCAATGAAAAATAAAAATAATATTTTTTATTAAATGTCCATACCGTATAAAAAGGTATACATATAAACGTTCTCGATAGGAAGTCGCAGAGTGTTCTCGAGACTAACCGTAGGTAATGCCATGTTTTAAAATAAATTCTGGTAATAATATACTCGATTGTTGTTCACAGACAATTGAAAAACTGGCAAAACTGTACGAGCATCCTGGTGACATCGACCTGGTCATTGGTCTGATGGCAGAGTCACCTGTTCCTGGATCTCTTTTGGGACCGACAGCAATTTGCATCATTAGTAAGTATTCATTTATTATCATCATCATCATCAAGAAAGAGGCAAAACTTCTAAAAAACAAAAACCATAACTCTAATGTGAATCCCAGTGCAAAAATTATCATACCTCCTTTTAAAACTAAAAATATTTATGAGTAAAGAAACAAAAACAATAAATAAAATATTGTAGGTACATTATTATTTATTAGTCAATGCTTTTACTAAAACAATCGTTTTTTTTTTCTTACAGAGGAACAACTTTGGCGCACAAAGGCAGGAGACAGATACTTCTACAGTCACCAAGATGAAGCCGGCAAGTTCACCAAGAGACAGCTTGCTGAAATAAAGCGCTCATCTCTCGCAAGACTACTTTGTGACAACACACCTTTTGATAGAATTCAGAAGGATGCCTTCAAACCGGTTTCTGAAAGGTAAATATCATTATAGTCTAATTTCATTGTAATTATGGACGTTACTAAAGCATTTGATTAGGTAATGTTCAATGATAATCTTGTCTTAATTAAATAATTAAAGTAGGTAACATAAAATATTTTATATTCTTGATCAATCAAGATATTTTAAAAGTTAAAATAATTATATAAATTCTGTTTTGTATAGGCAGATTTTCAAATTTTGGGTAACAAATCTAAGGGATGCCATAAGGTACAAATATGTGACCCACAAGACTCTTTTGATAAAATAAAATTAACACAATTACCTACTTGGCTAGATTTTTGTCAAGGTTAAACGATTTTTGAAGATTTAGATAAGAAAGTAGGTTGCTTTTAATGCAATATAATAATTTAAGGATGCAGAATAAAATAAAATACGACCTTCTGATGCATGTTTCCTGGTTATGTTGTTTATTTACAAATATTTTTTTATCATCACCATATTATTGAAAGCGGTTTTCCTTCTCAATCTGACATTTGTCTCTTTAAAATATTTAAAAGTAGTTTCTTAAGTTGATATTTTTCGTGACTCATTTAATTTTATCTTTGCAGTAATCCTATCGTCCCATGCGAAGAAATCAAAAAAGTCAACCTGGAAGCGTGGCAGGCCTCAACAGAACAACCTGACATTCTCACTCGCACTAACAATTGGCTCAAAAACAAAGTCGGCAGCTCGGGAAACTCCACCAAGTAGATTCTCGCCCTTAGAATAAGTATATTTTATTTATCTGCAGTGCAAGTTAGGCCCATATAATTTAGATTTAGCATTTTGTTATAGGTAATTTAAACCATCAAGTACTTAACGAACTGCTTGATGTTTGATACATAGTTGTAGTAAGAATACCACGAAGTTCTGTCTATGAATTTAAACGAGTGCGTAGTATAGAGGTAGAGAATGTATTAAGACTGTTCTAGCTTGCATTGTAGAATTTAAGTATATTGTAGTCGAGCGTTACAGTATTTTGTTTAATTGTGACAGTGTGTTTATTTGGTTAGTCGTAGATAGAACCACGTTCCTCGATACTAAGTCGAAAGTGAACTTTAAGTCAAGCTTAAGTGTGTCGACCATTCGGATGTCTTTTTACCCGACTGCCAAAGAAGGAGGGTAATGTTTTAAGATTTGTATCTGCAATGAAGACAGGTTTGGTCGTGTGTCTGTCGTGTGATTGTACCGTGTCGTACAGTGGCTGTGATATGTGGACGTTAAGTCTACTGCATAGAGGAAGAAGTCTCGAGTCCGAGACGTGAGTTTATGATTCTCGTGATCCATATGTTAAAAGATCCGAGAATTGTTCCTGATAACAAAAACGGAACTTTAACATCTGAAACAGAATTTGAGCACGATTGTTTCGTGTAAGTTTAAAGTACTTAGATTTTAAAACAAGCCAGGGTAATTTCTATAGAATTTTGAACAGCTTTGGGAGAATTACTTAGGTTTCAGTTTGCCCTGGTGAAGTCGTGGGTTGTATTGTAACAGTTAAAATCAACACCCAGTTTATTTAAAGCTTCTTACAAACATCTTTCAACTTCTCGATACGGTTAATAAGGAAATACTCGTGATAGTGAAAAAAGTTTGTCATTTGAGTGACGCACGATGCGATCCAAATAAGGATTTTTTGGCTCTTGGTGACATAACGAGGCTAACCAGTTTTCACTGAAATTTATGATGGCTTGAGTAACATGGTCATTATTTTGATCGTTATCGTCCGTCGTGAGTTGTGGTGCATCCATGTGCGGTCTTTTTAGATGTTCGCACTCATATTCTTCCATATTGGTCCCAGTATTTATTGCATCTCAGTTTCAGCTCCTAACTTGTTTTCTGTTGTTATCTCGTCTTGTTTTCGAGCTCATTCTTTACTCTTGTGAATTACTTATTTGATAGTTTTAAGGTTCAAATTATTTCTCTTTTTTGTTTACAACGAAATTTTGGAGTGATGGCGAAATTAATGCCAAAGACTGGAATATAACTGATAGCGGCTAGTTATCTTATAGTTACAATCTTTTACACGGACTTGTAAAATTGGTTTGATATTTTTTCAAAAGTTATTTTTATGTATTGTTTAGGTATTGAACTTATAAAAAAACATGTTAAACTTATGTTAATTTGGTAATTAATATTACCACTCCTGCTCTCGAAAACATGCAATTTAGAATATTTTTTCGTTTATTACGCTACATTACTGTAATTAAAATCATCGTTCAAATTAAGTGTACTTATGAAATGATTGCACAATATTTCATGTAAATAGTAATAATTGGGTTTGGATAAAGACAATTAATTATAAAGGATTTATTGACATTCTTTACTAATAGAGTTATTAAATCAAAGTGTAAGTGCCCTATTTAAAAGAAGTACTTTGATTTTCAACTCTGTTTTGACGTGGATGTTTTTGTCACAAATTCAATCGCATTATGTTACGATAACTGCCAAAATATATATTGATAATATCTATACTTACTTTTAATGAATGTGTAATGATTTAAAGAAATGTTAACTATACTATTTTTGCGAACAAATTGAAATTAATTTAATTACTATTATAAATCGGATTATTTGTTTAATTATTACGACAATTCACATTTTCAGCATCGCATCGTCTACCTTTATTTGGAGATTAGTTTTATTAGATCCTTGTATATTGTGAATTGTCGTAAAAAGGATTCGCCTATACCTAAGTTCTTTTTATACGTCAATAAATTTATTTACCATGTATTTATGACTTTTACTGGAATCCTCTTTACCAATCCTAAAATAATGTAAGGTACAACAACTAAATAGGTACAACTAAAATACACGAACTCTATTTATTAAAGCAATATGAATTTAAAGATGAATTCTAAAGCTGAAATAGAAAATAAGTATGAATCTATAATTGTGTAAAATAAATGGTGCCTTAACGTTGATGACTTTTTTTAAAATAATAAAGGTACTATTCTCCATTGCTTTAGGGACAAACAGCCAGTATTAACACCTTTAAAAATGAAATATAAAAACAGCTGCCAGAAAACAACAATACATAAAATGATAGTTTTGACCTTAGTTAAAGTCGAGAGTAATATAAAATTAATTGAGTAAAATGTTAATGCAAAACATGTTGTATTTTAATGAAAATTGTAAATACTACCTACTACTTTAGTTGGGTGGACGGGATGTTATGTTATCAAGTCATAAATCACGTTTCACGTGCATGTTTCTGGGATATAATATCCACATTTTTGTCTCGAAAATGCAGAGGTAATGAAACACAGTTTCACCTCTGCAATTTTATTCATATTCATATAATTTTATTCTTACTAAAATCTGTGAAGTCGTTTTGAGAGAAATGCATCTGAGTCTGAGTTTATTGTATTCCATTAATACAGGTCTCGGGTAGGCATATATTCTAAAACTGTGACTAGGGACCGAGGGTTAGCAGCCTCATTTAATTCTATTTTATTTTTGTCATCTGTCTACGATTCCCAAGTCGCCTATTTAGCGGTTTATAGCAACCTTCAAGAAGAGGCAAGCAGAGAGCTCTCTGTTAAATGGTGGGCGTCTGCCGGGGGAAGACGATGATGATGACAAAAGTTCCATCAGTCCAGTTTTGGAAATCTGTATCTGGCTATGGTTTACGGCATTTAAGATATTTTATAGCACCGACTTGTGCCGTCTATAGGTAAAACCCATCGACCAAACTCAGTGTCAATATATACATAGTTGTCAGTCTTAGGTAGGATTAAGAAATTGGTTGCGAATGTAATTGATGCAAATTGTGTATCTACCAATTACAAACACATTTAGGTTTCCTCACGATGTTTTCCTTCACCGGTTGTTAGTCTAACTCGGAAAAAGTCACATTGGTACTTGCCGTTGGTAGGTTTCGAACCCGCATGTGGGTGCATACATGAGAAGCGGGCGTTTTAAACCTTCCGGGCCACCACGACACTATGATATTTATTTATCTCGTAAATGGTATTACATTGGTATAACGACTTTTTAAACTGTGGATACCTACTGTGATGCATGTTTTTTAAATGTTAAACGTGTTTACTTCTGGTTTGGACGGAAACAAAACAACATTTAAAAGAGAGCGTCAACGTGTTGGTATAATTATATGACAATAATATCAAAATAATGTATGACATTATTTTGCGGTCTTAACATACCTGCTCACCCACTTCGTTTCGCCATAATAAATTAAAAAGTTTTGATCACTTTTCCATGTTAAAGTATTTGAAACAACACCCTATAAAACGGTCAAAGAAAATATCAAGCTTATATATTTCGGACTTACTTATTTTAGTGCGATTAAAATTTCTTCGTCATCGATTTCTCAGTCTTTATTATACCTCTAATTATTATCACAGTAGGTACAGGTTTGTGATGTCTTACAAAATTTCTCTAAGGATATCCTATTACCTACCTACTTAATAACAGCCTATAGGAATTTCTCACGAGTTAACAAGTTACAAAATTAACTTGTATTTTTGGTACGTTAACCTACGCACTTGTTTCAATAAATTGGTTTACTTACGCAACTTAAGTAAGGTCATTTCGCTCCCCGATCCAATACACGAATTGTTCAAGGCGAGTTTTTATGGCAAGTCGAAACGAGCCGAAACAAAAGAGTTTATACCTTTCAATCACCATAGAAGCGGACATTATCTTAAGTCGAGGATTCACTGGAGGGCAAATTGAAAAACATGTCTTGAAAAGTAGTTTGCGCTCATGTGTACACTGAATTACTTACCAGTCGTTAGAGTATAGCATTTTTACTATTACTAGTCTATGAACTATATAGCAAAAAAAGTAACAATAGAGGTGCGAGAAATAATAAAGTATTAGTTATATAATAAGTAATTCAAAGCTTATCGTTTTATAACAATACTGAGAGAGTTAAAGAACAAAAATTGACATAACCTAACATGATTGTAGGTGGCGCTATGAGCGTTTTTGGTTACCCCCACGAAACAAAATCGAAATTTATAAAGAGTTTAATGATTTTTTTGAAATGTATTTATTTGTGTATCAACTATCAATCAACACGATAGCATGCTATGTAATTATAGATGCTACCTATATCACCTTATTTTGTATCTAAAAATATCAAATCCCTCAAGTGAATCCCAAGCTTCATACCAAAACACCATGGCTTCCGTTTCTAAACATAGATTTATTATTCTATTGAATGGAATTAATTGGTGCAACGTGTTTTGTTTGGTCAATTAATCAATAAGTGTATCTTAGACATTGCTTAACCGGAGTTATTGACTTGTAAGCATGTGGAAACGGTAACATGAAGTGACTGTGGTGGTCATTGAAGGGCGCTGTGTTCACGAGTGCGAATTGTTGTTATAAGGAATTTTGTTTCTATAGCACTATGCATTGTCTTTCATTCAGCAGATATTTGATACTGTTTCTGTGTTCCATGATACTGATGAGGAATAATTCTCTCGTAATAAGTATTCGCGCGCGTTTTTCTCGCCTTTTAATTAAATAACTTTTAGGCTCAAATTGCATAATAGTGTGAGTTCGCAATAAACACCAGTAAATAAAAATCTTGTTAGTATAAGCAATTAATTCGTTTTTATTTCAAAGCAGATGGGGTAGAAAATGGCTATTGCAATATTGTGAAATGGCACGTCACGTCGGGGGTGTACCTACAAATACAATTTCCCTCTCCGTTTCCTTTTCATCCTGGTACCTACTCACCA